TGGCTCAGCACCCCCAGTCGCAGCACCCCCAGGCTCAGCACCCCCAGACTCCGCACCCCCAGGCTCAGCACCCCCAGTCGCAGTACCCCCAGGCTCAGCACCCCCAGACTCAGCACCCCCAGGCTCAGCACCCCCAGGCTCAGCACCCACGCGCGTAGCACCCCCAGAGTCAGCACCCCCAGGCTCAGCACCCGCAGCAGGACCAGAGTCACCAGCAACCTCGACCGGCTCGACTGCGTCTACCTGGGACACACCTGAAGGGGCAGGACCCTGAGGGGGAAGGGGGTCTACCGGGGGGGGACCTGGCACAAGGAAGTGCGGTGGCGGGGGGAGGGAAGGAGTGCGGTAGGGGAAGAGGCGGTAGAAGGGGACTGACTCGTCGAACGTGACGTCCTGGGAGGACAGAACACGACGAGAGGAGGGGTGGTAGAACTGCCACCCTGGGGCGTCAGGGGGGAAGCCGAGGAAGACACAGGGAGCAGCACGAGGGGACAGCTTGTCCGCAGACAAGTCGCGGACAAACGCCCGAGATCCCCAGACACGGAACGCAGACGCATCGCCGACCTTCCCCGTCCACAGCAGAGCTGGGGAGGTCTCCGGCCGGGAGACCCTGGGGTGAAGGTTGATCTGATGCGCCGCGTACCGAACCGCAAACGGCCACAGAAAATGGGGGGCAGCCGCATGCATCATGGACGTACGAGCGACGTCCATGACCATGCCAATGCGGCGCTCAGCAATCCCATTTTGCTGTGGAGAGTCCGGAAGCGTAAAGGTCTGGCGGATGCCTCGTGCACGACAGTAGGCTCGCAGAAGGCCAGAGGAGAACTCTCCACCTCGGTCAGAGTGCAGACGCAGAACAGGAAAGTCCGAGCCGAAGCTCCTCCTGAGCTGGAGACGAGCTGCGCGGATCCAGTCGATCAACACCTCAGTGACATCACCCTTGCTGCGCAAGGGGAAGACTGTGGTGTAACGCGAGTAGTCGTCAACCACCAGCAGGAAGTAGCGCTCGTGACCCTGCCCACGGACGCGGGCCGGGCCCCACACGTCCATGTGAAGCGTCTGCAGAGGAGCCTCTGTCGGGGGAAACTGGGAGGAGTGAGGGGCAGCCCGGAGCCGCCCCTCGACACAGGGGACACAGGAAGGTCCGGGTCCCGAAGGAAGGGGAGGGAGAGACCGGGGAAGACCAGAGACAAGGACACGGGAAGCCATGCCCCGAAGACGAGGCAAGGAGGGGTGGCCAAGACGGTGGTACCACAGGAGAGTCTCCTGAGACAGGCGGCGACACGAGCAGGGGGCAGACTCAGGACCAGACCTGGACGCAGCAGCAAACACCTGACCCGACGCATCTACCTGGCCAGACGCAGGGACAGGAGGAGACTCAGTGGTCAGGGTGTAGAGACTCGACCCCGGCCGACGCGAAAACGTGGCCAGGTGTCGGCCTGTGCGGGCGTCCGAGCAGTGGGTCACCCGCTGACTCGCAGGAGTAAACTGGTGAACCCCCGCATCCTGCAGGTCAGCACCACTCACCAAGTTCGTCGAGAACGAGGGGAGGTACAGACCAGACAAGGTGCCCGAGGGGGCAGCCGGACACGGGAGGACAGTGGAGAAGTGAGAGAGGACAGGACCCCCAGAGGGGTCAGCCAGGGAGACTGCAACCGGCCGGCCAAGCGGCGTGAGTGTGGTGCGGTCTCGAAAGAAGGAGCGAGAAGCCCCTGAGTCAAGCGTGAAGGTGAGGGAGGCCGAAGCCGACGCAGTACCTGAGAGCGCAGCCTCACCAGTACCTGAGAGTGCAGACGCACTGGCACCTAGAGCAGCAGCCGCAGAAGTACCTAGCGCAGCAGTACCAATGCCCGGGTCGGGCGGGAAACACCGGTAACAGTCACCCTCCTCACTAATAGTCACAGCATACATGGCAGCAAGGATAGCATCAAAGTCAAGATCAAAGATAGCTACGCCAGCCCTAGACAGCTCTCCCCAACGGGGAATCTCACTAGCCTCGGGGAACTGCTGACGCCAAGCGTCCGTCAGGCGGCCAAAGCAGCGCTGGGTGGGGTGGGCACCCCCACACTGCTCACCCGCGCGGTCGCCGGAACGAAGGACGTAGGTGCACGGACCAAAACCCCCACCCCGCTGACGCTGCGTGTACCACTCACGGAGCTGCTGGGGCGGGGGGATGTCCCGCGAACGCTGCTGCTGCTGCTGCTGCTGCTGCTGACGCTGGCCACCACCAGAGCCGCTACGCTGCGGGGCACCACCCCGACCAGCTCCACCCCCTCCGCCACCGCCGCCTCCACCTCCACCACCACCGCTGCCTCCGCTCCCACCGCTGCCGCCACCACCGCCTCCTCCTCCGCTGCTGCCACCGCCACCACCGCCCCCGCCACCACTCCCACCGCCACCCCCACTCCCTCCGCCGCCTCCACCGCCACCTCCACCGCCCCCGCCAGTTCCACCCGCGCCCTTGCCCCCCTTGCCCCTGCCAGGGCGGCGTCTCCCGCTAGGGGCAGACGCCGCGCAGACCGACTCAAGACCAAGCAGGTCGGCAGCAGCAGCAGAGGCAACAGAGGGCAGCAGGGGGGAAGGAGAACACCCCTCAAAGATGGGGGTGCGAGGGTCACAACGAGAGGCTCCTACAGCGACGATGCTCTTCTCCGCCGCCAGGAGAGACTTCTCGAGGAGGTCGACAGTGAGAGTGGTGGGACAGACTGAGAGGAAGTGGTCCCTGACTACGCGAAGGGAGTCAGGGAGGCGTGTGACTATGTAATAGAGAGTGATGTACATGGGGGGGGGGTTCTTGGCGCAGAACTCAGCAGGAAGGGCGGCGCGGTAGCGAGTGTCACTAGTGCGGAGGTGCGTAATGAGGTCAGCGACAGTGGGAAAGGCAGCAAGGTCAGGAAAGAGGTACGGTAGCATGAGGCGGCTCAGGGCAGCAGTGGCAGGGGAAGAGTAGCGCGCAACTACAGCGTCGTACAAGGTCTGAGCACTCTTGTACTGACTAAAGTGCGCGCGCTCAGTGGTAGGCAGGTGGCGACGCACAGCAAGACGTGCAGCAGCATCGCGGGTGGCCCACTGAGAGCGAACAGCGGGGTCAGCATCAGCAGCAGGGGCAGGAGAGGCGCCAGAGGTGAGGTCAAAGAGGGAAAGACCGTCCGCCTTATCGCACTGTAAGAACAGCTGCAGGTCGTCGACCCAGACCTCAAAGTCAATGGCTCGACCCTCAGCGTCAAAAGCGAGGACACTAGGGGTAGCCATGACGACGACAGTGTAGTAGTGCAAGCAGTAGGGGAAGGGCACGCAGTAACAGTGGTGCTGTGCTCACCAGGCAGGGCAGGTCGGGCGGCTCGGCAGTAGGGCGGCCCGGCGGCTGGGCGGCTGGGCGGCTCGGCGGCTCGGCTGCTGGGCGGCTCGGCTCCCGGGCGGCTCGGCGGCAGGGCGGCTCGGCGGCAGGGCGGCTCGGCGGCAGGGCGGCTCGGCGGCTCGGCTCCCGGGCGGCTCGGCGGCAGGGCGGCTCGGCGGCAGGGCGGCTCGGCTCCCGGGCGGCTCGGCTGCTGGGCGGCTCGGCGGCAGGGCGGCTCGGCGGTCGTAGGCGGCGGGGCCGGTGAGGATAGGCGGCGGGGCCGGTACCGTAGGCGGCGGGGCCGCGAAGTGGGGCGGCGGGGCCGCGTAGGTGAGGGCGGCGGGGCCGCAAAGTGAGGGCGGCGGGGCCGCGACGTGAGGGCGGCGGGGCCGCGAAGGTGAGGGCGGCAGGGCCGCGTAGGCAAGGGCGGCGAGGCCGCGACGTGAGGGCGGCGGGGCCGCGACGTGAGGGCGGCGGGGCCGCGTAGGTGAGGGCGGCGGGGCCGCGTAGGCAAGGGCGGTGGGGCCGCGACGTGAGGGCGGCGAAGCCGCGACGTGAGGGCGGCGGGGCCGCGACTTATGGGCGGCGGGGCCGCGTAGGTGAGGGCGGCGGGGCCGCGACGTGAGGGCGGCGGGGCCGCGACTTAAGGGCGGCGGGGCCGCGTAGGTGAGGGCGGCGGGGCCGCGACGTGAGGGCGGCTGGGCCGCGACGTAAGGGCGGCGGGCTCGCGTAGGTAAGGGCGGCGCAACGGGCCGCTAGGGGCGACACGGAGGGTCGCTAAAAAAAAAAAAGGAAAGCGCGCCTCGGGGCGCGCTTCGGTGGGCCCTAGAAACAGTCCCTAGGAGGGGACCTGCTCTGATTCCATGTGGAAAGGAGAACGCGAATGAATGAACTATGAATGAAGTGAGTACATATAGGAAACCCTAATTGGGTTGTACCCCCTATGGGATACCCCACTATAGCCTACACAACAGCATAAGCTATATAATGTTCTGACAGCTGCTGCTGTACGCGATGTTGCAGGGCGCGCTAAGGAATATCGAGAAAATTCCTTACAAATATGAAACATTTTCTCAGCAATTGAACAAATACAATTGTAGCTTTTCATGTTCCTTGATTGCGTCACCCCTTCGTTTTCCGAACAAATTTGAATATTTGAATTTTGCCTTAGTTTTTCAGCCGTGATTCCTGAATGGACGTGTCCCCCACATTCGAATCATCAGATTAGAAATCCCTGTGTCGCTAGTGTCGCCAAACTATTGACGAGACATCTTGTGGCTTGTCCAAGTCAGGGAAACATTGTTTCGCCGGCACTTCTAGTGTCATCGCCACTCTTCTCACTGGTTCCGCGACAAGTAACCCAGTCACAAACCGTGCGTCCCCACAGAGCATCTCCTTGAACCACCTCGACCTGGGAGTGAGACTGACGTCTCAGCATGATGCTGAAACAAAATCAAACGCAATGATAAAATATCAGCCAAAAAACAAGCCAGTTTCTACTCAATTTCCGCCAACAGTTCGCGGCGCAGCTTGATCCTTGAAAAAAAACCTTCGAAATCGCCTCTCCTAGATTTCACGCCCGCGGCGGTGCGACGTCAGGAATGCCTCAAAATTGCACAGTTTCTTACGGTAGTACTAGCTACTAGTAGTATCGCGGGGAAGAATGGCTCCGGGCTGCTCCATCTGCTACGAGGAGTTTGTCGCGGAAGACTCCCTGCAAGTCGTCGTGGAATGCGGCCACGTGTTCCACACCCATTGGTGCTGCCCCCGTCCGCTCCTCGCGCACCTCTATCTCCACAACCGTTTCTCACGCTCCTTCACTTATTATTTTCGCTCTGACCCCCACCCTCCCCACGCCCCTCATTCACAACTGCCACATCAGCTGCATCTCGCTCTGAAAAATAACCCCTCCTGCGCCTGAGCCGTGCACACACTCCCCTTAATCTTCACCCGAGCTCCATTCGAAACCTCCTGTTCTTCCTCGTCCCCTCTTCCCCTCCCCGCTCTTCCCAACCTCCTATTTCTCCCGCTTTATCCGTCCAACAGCCTGCAAACCCCGCAAGAGCTGCCCCTTCTGCCGTGGCGCGTGCTCGCGCCGTGTCCTCCACGTGTTCCTCTCCGACCTCTCTAGCGCGGACGACGCAGACGCCTGCCGCGCAGCCAAGCGGAGGAAGGTTGGGGAGGAGTCGGGAGCAGGGGGCGCGGGGGAGGGTGGGCGAGCTGCTGCTGCTGCGCTGAAGGTTAGTGATCGAGGTTCAACGGGCGCAGGTGCGATTGAATCGAACCCATTCTTAGCAATACTTCCCCCCTCCACTGTGGATGGCAGCTATTTCAACAGCCTAGTGCAAGCGCTGCAAGTGGCTATTCGTGCAGAGCGCGGCAGGTCACCTGTGCGCCCAATTCAAGTGTTTATCCTCGATACTGCATGCTGCTCTTCTCCTTGCACGCTTGCTTTCAGGAACCCTCACTCCCCCTTTCCTCCCGAACTTTCTTCCGCCCGTTTCTCCCTACAACTCTCCCCCCATCCCGCCACTCCGTGCAGCATGCAGAGACGCGGGTTGCGGCTCTGAAGGCGGCGTTGAGAGCAGAGCAGGTGGCATTCACGCAACTCAAAGCCGAGGTGCGTGCTTGCAGGCACAAACAGTGGTGGTGGGTGGTTGGGGACTGGGCGTGGTGGCTGTTCTTGAGGCCCGTCAAAGCAGGTTGCAGCACTGAAGGCGTCGTTGCGAGCAGAGTAGGTGGCATTCACGCAGCTTAAAGCCGAGGTGCGTGCAGGCACAAACAGTGGTGGTGGGTGGGTGGTTGGGGACTGGTGGCTATTTTTGAGGCGCGTCGAAAGCAGGTGGCAGCACTGAAGGCATCGTTGAGAGCAGAGCAGATGGCACTCACGCAACTCAAAGGTGAGGTGCGTGCTGCTGCCTGTGGTGAGTGGTGGTGGTGGCCGGGGAATGGTGGCTGGACGGATGGGTGAATTGGTTGGTTGGTGGGGTGGTTGAGTGAGCTTGATGATTGGGCAATGGCAGGTCAATGGTATGACACACATGGCACATGTCACATGGATTGAGATGGTGTGGAAATCATGACCTCTCCATTCCCCCATTTTCCAGGCTAACCAGCCCTCCATGTCTCCTACACGTCCTCCTCTCAGTCTGCACCCTCCCACACCTTGATCGCTCCCCATCCCTTCCCACCCCTTCTCATTCCTTCCCTTTCCAACAAATCATCCCGTCCTTTCCCATCCCTTCCCTTCCCATCCCTTCCCGTCCCTTCCCATCCCTTCCCGTCCCTTCTCATCCCTTCCCACCTCTTCCCACCCCTTCCCACCCCTACCATCCTTTCGTGTTTGCGACACCCCGGGTAGCAGGCGGAGCGCAGCAAGCAGCGAGTGGGGGAGGCGGAGAGGGAGAGGGACGAGGCACGCGCAGCAGCGGTGGTGCAGAGGGCGGCGCATGCGCGGGAGAAGGAGCACCTGCTCGTGGCCGCGCACGTGCTGCGCGGGGTAGGGCGGGAGGGGGGGGTGGGCGGGGTAGAGGGGGAGAGAGGGGGGAGAGGGGGGAGATGGAGGGAGAGGGGGGAGAATGGGGAGTGGGCGGAGAGGGGGCGGAGAATACAGTGGAGAGGACAGAAGGGAGTGGGAGGGAGGTTGGGGGCTGGTGGTCGTAGGGGAAGCAGCAGCGGTGGTGCAGAGAGCGGCGCATGCGCGGGAGAAGGAGCACCTGCTGGCAGGAAGCGGGGTACAGCCTTAATGTTTCAGACGGCAAGGACATAGGGGCAGAGGAGGGAGCGACAGGCTGTTAAGGGGGGTGCAAACAGTGGGGGGCGAAAGAGGCAATGGACACGGATGGTGAAGGTGGTGAAATGGTAGTGGGGAAACGGTTGAGGCGAAACGGAGTAAGTGCTGCAGGCAGGAAGACTTATCAGCATACGTGTGCTGTTTTGCTTCATCAGCGTACCTGCCCTTGCTGTCTCGTATCCGTCACGCACCTATACTGAAACCCGTTCATTCACTCATGCGCTCTCAGCCTCTCTCCGCCCTCGCTGCCACCCTCACCCTCTCTACCTCTCTCCGCGCTCTCGTCTCTTTCCTGTGCGCTATCCCGCGTGTGTGCCACGTGCCAGGAGGTGGATGCAAAGAGCAACGAGTGCAAAGTGCTGCAGATGCAGCTGCAGCAAGCACAGTGCAGCGAGGCAGCCATGGCTCTGTGCGTACATACCCACCCTCTCTGCGCCCTCCTTTTTCCTCCTTGCCTTCCTTCCCTTCCCTCGCCCTTGCTTTCATCATTGCTGGCCCTTATTCATCATTGTACTAATTGCACAGTGCAGCGAAGCAGCCATGGCTCTGTTCGTATCCACTCTCTCGCCGCCCTGCCTTCCTGACCCCCCCCCCGTTTGCATGGATAATTTCTTTCTGGCACAATTTGTGGTTCTACTATTGCAGTCTATCCATATCTGTGCACTATCTATTGTGCATGTGCATGCGTATCCCTGAGTCATCTTAGCCCAAGTGTGCATGTGCATGCCTCCTTCACCCCGTCACACGTGCTCACACACTTACACGTCTGCATGCAACACACGTTCACAACCACCCGCCGATCCTCACACCCATGTATCCGCACCCCCCCGGGGCCCACACACACAGTACTCCGCCCTGCCCCAAACACCCTCCAACCTCCCCCTTCACACCCGCACATGCCAGCATGCAACAGGTAGGAGAGAGCAAATAAGGCCCGCTTACGACGGCTTGCAGAAGGGCAGCAGCAACCACCACAGCTGCTACTGCCAGTACCAACTTTGGGACGTCATTAAAGCCCAAATAACCCTCTCCTCTCCATCCCCTTCCTCCACCGACATTTTTCAGCAGATACAGCAGCAGATACAGCAGCAGATACAGCAGCAGATACAGCAGCAGATACAGCAGCAGATACAGCAGCAGATAGAGCTAAGCAGGGAAGGGCTGCTCAAGATGGCTCGCATGGCAGCAGACGCAGCAGCCACCCACAGACACAATGCTGCCAGCACCAAATTGTGAAACGTCTTAATGCCAAACAACCTTCTTCCCTCCAACCCTTCCCCCTCCGTTCCCCCCCACCCACACATGGCAGCATGCAGCAGATAGAGCTAAGCAGGGTAGGGCTGCTCAAGATGGCTCGCATGGCTGCAGGCGCTGCAGCCACAGACGCAGCTGCCGCCGCTGCCGCTGGTGGCGCGGGCGTAGGTGGCAGCGGTGGTAGGGGCAAGCTAGGGAAGGGCAAGCACACATGGATGATGGACGAAAGGGGGGATGGTGACGGCTCTAATGGCGACGACGGCGGTGGCAGCAGTAGCAGCAGTGACGCTGGTGTGATCTGCGTGCTGCAGCACACGCTGATGGAGAGAAACAAGTACGGAGCACCTGGGCATGTTTTATTGGTGCAATGCAGTGCAGAGGGGTGCGGGGTGGTGATGCAGGGAAGGATGCGTTGTGCAGTCACGTTCTTGCACGTGCTGTCTCCTCTTTCTGCTTCCCTTCCCACAACTCCCTCGCTGGTTTCCCCTATCGCATCCCCCTCCCTTTTCGTCTCGCATTCCCTCGAGCTCGAGCCAAGCTTCTCTGTTTCTTCGCTTGTGCACGTGATGCCTTCACTGCCTCTCGGCTCTGCACTCCCTCTCTTTCCTCCGCTTCCTCTCCCAAACCAACCTTCTGCCCCCATTCCAGCCTGTACAGAGACCTTCACACCAATTTCTTTCTCGATTCGCCTAAAGAACCTCTAGGTTCTCCACCTTGGCCTTCACTTCCTCTCGCCGCCCCCTTGTCCTCTCTTTGCCCAAGCTGCGCCCTCTCTGCCTCCGCGCCCTCTCTTCCCCCCCACCACCTCAAGCAATACAAGGACCTTCTCACCATGTTCTTTCATGAGGCGTCGCAAAGGCTTCTCCCGCCTCTGCCCTTGCTTCCGCGCCTGTTTCCGCCCTCTCTAACACCCCCTCCCCTCCCCCTCCCTCTTTCCGCACCATCTCAGGCAGTACAAGGAGCTTCTCACCAAGTTCTCGCGCCTCACCTCACAGCACTCCCTGCTGGCCTCTACCAATGCCCGCCTCTCTTCCGTTGCGGCTAGACTGCAGGTATTGCTGGGAGGTCGCATGTGTTTTTTTTGCAGAGTTGTTTTGAGTCGAAGTAATCAAGTAAGAAAACCATTATCCTTGATATGAGTCTATTCTGCTAGTCTGCAGGTACTGCTAACGCATGTGGTGATACTGCTAACGCATGTGGTAATACTGCTAACACATGTGGTAATACTGCTAACACATGTGGTAATGCAGCTAACACATGTGGTAATGCTGCTAACACATGTGGTAACACTGCTAACACATGTGGTAATGCTGCTAACACATGTGGTACTGGTGCTAACGCATGTGGTAATAGTGCTAACACATGTGGTAATACTGCTAGCACATATGGTATTACTGCTAAACACCAACGCCAGCACCTCTCCTCTCCCTCCCCTCCCTTCGTCTCTCCACTCCTCCCATGTGTGTGCAATAGGCCCAGATGACCCAGCTCAAGGCCAACGCTAACTCCTCTGCCACCACCCCGCCTCGCTCCTCTCGCTCTCCTGCCCCTGCCGCTACCCCTGCCTCTGGTTCTGGTGGTGGTGGTGGTGCTGCTGCTGCTGCATCGGCTCGCGTCCCTCCCCGCACCCCTGCGCCTTGTGTGGTTGTAGGAGGGGCGTTGCAGGGGGTGCCGGGCCTTCATAAGAAGCGCATGCAAGCAGGGGCGAAGAGGGGGGAAGAGGGGAGGGAGAAGGGAAGAGGAGGAACAGGGGAGAAGGACGAGGAAGGGCGGGGAAAGGAAGGAGTGGTTGGTGGTAAGAGAGGAGTAGCTGGGAAAGGAAGTGGCAGAGATGGTGTTCCTGATTCTGATCCTGCTGCTCCTGCCGCTACTGCTGCTCATGCTTCTTCTGCTGCTCCTGCTGCTGCTGTGGGTGCTGCTCCTGCCGCGCATGCTCCTGCCGCGCATGCTCCTGCCGCGCATGCTCCTGCCGCGCATGCTCCTGCCGCGCATGCTCCTGCCGCGCATGCTCCTGCCGCGCATGCTCCTGCCGCGCATGCTCCTGCCGCGCATGCTCCTGCGCGCATGCTCCTGCCGCGCATGCTCCTGCCCGCGCATGCTCCTGCCGTCGCATGCTCCTGCCGCATGCTCAGGCTCCTGCCGCGCATCCTCCTGCCGCGCATGCTCCTGCCGCGCATGCTCCTGCCGCGCAATGCCTCCTGCGCGCAGCTCCTGGCCCGCGCATGCTCCTGCCGCGCATGCTCCTGCCGCGCATGCTCCTTGCCGCGCATGCTCCTGCCGCGCATGCTTCCTGCCGCGCATGCTCCTGCCGCGCATTCTCCTGCCGCGCATGCTCCTGCGCGCATGCTCCTGCCGCGCATACCCTGCCGCGCATGCTCCTGCCGCGCATGCTCCTGCCGCGCATGCTCCTGCCGCGCATGCTCCTGCCGCGCATGCTCCTGCCGCGCATGCTCCTGCCGCGCATGCTCCTGCCGCGCATGCTCCTGCCGCGCATGCTCCTGCCGCGCATGCTCCTGCCGCGCATGCTCCTGCCGCGCATGCTCCTGCCGCGCATGCTCCTGCCGCGCATGCTCCTGCCGCGCATGCTCCTGCCGCGCATGCTCCTGCCGCGCATGCTCCTGCCGCGCATGCTCCTGCCGCGCATGCTCCTGCCGCGCATGCTCCTGCCGCGCATGCTCCTGCCGCGCATGCTCCTGCCGCGCATGCTCCTGCCGCGCATGCTCCTGCCGCGCATGCTCCTGCCGCGCATGCTCCTGCCGCGCATGCTCCTGCCGCGCATGCTCCTGCCGCGCATGCTCCTGCCGCGCATGCTCCTGCCGCGCATGCTCCTGCCGCGCATGCTCCTGCCGCGCATGCTCCTGCCGCGCATGCTCCTGCCGCGCATGCTCCTGCCGCGCATGCTCCTGCCGCGCATGCTCCTGCCGCGCATGCTCCTGCCGCGCATGCTCCTGCCGCGCATGCTCCTGCCGCGCATGCTCCTGCCGCGCATGCTCCTGCCGCGCATGCTCCTGCCGCGCATGCTCCTGCCGCGCATGCTCCTGCCGCGCATGCTCCTGCCGCGCATGCTCCTGCCGCGCATGCTCCTGCCGCGCATGCTCCTGCCGCGCATGCTCCTGCCGCGCATGCTCCTGCCGCGCATGCTCCTGCCGCGCATGCTCCTGCCGCGCATGCTCCTGCCGCGCATGCTCCTGCCGCGCATGCTCCTGCCGCGCATGCTCCTGCCGCGCATGCTCCTGCCGCGCATGCTCCTGCCGCGCATGCTCCTGCCGCGCATGCTCCTGCCGCGCATGCTCCTGCCGCGCATGCTCCTGCCGCGCATGCTCCTGCCGCGCATGCTCCTGCCGCGCATGCTCCTGCCGCGCATGCTCCTGCCGCGCATGCTCCTGCCGCGCATGCTCCTGCCGCGCATGCTCCTGCCGCGCATGCTCCTGCCGCGCATGCTCCTGCCGCGCATGCTCCTGCCGCGCATGCTCCTGCCGCGCATGCTCCTGCCGCGCATGCTCCTGCCGCGCATGCTCCTGCCGCGCATGCTCCTGCCGCGCATGCTCCTGCCGCGCATGCTCCTGCCGCGCATGCTCCTGCCGCGCATGCTCCTGCCGCGCATGCTCCTGCCGCGCATGCTCCTGCCGCGCATGCTCCTGCCGCGCATGCTCCTGCCGCGCATGCTCCTGCCGCGCATGCTCCTGCCGCGCATGCTCCTGCCGCGCATGCTCCTGCCGCGCATGCTCCTGCCGCGCATGCTCCTGCCGCGCATGCTCCTGCCGCGCATGCTCCTGCCGCGCATGCTCCTGCCGCGCATGCTCCTGCCGCGCATGCTCCTGCCGCGCATGCTCCTGCCGCGCATGCTCCTGCCGCGCATGCTCCTGCCGCGCATGCTCCTGCCGCGCATGCTCCTGCCGCGCATGCTCCTGCCGCGCATGCTCCTGCCGCGCATGCTCCTGCCGCGCATGCTCCTGCCGCGCATGCTCCTGCCGCGCATGCTCCTGCCGCGCATGCTCCTGCCGCGCATGCTCCTGCCGCGCATGCTCCTGCCGCGCATGCTCCTGCCGCGCATGCTCCTGCCGCGCATGCTCCTGCCGCGCATGCTCCTGCCGCGCATGCTCCTGCCGCGCATGCTCCTGCCGCGCATGCTCCTGCCGCGCATGCTCCTGCCGCGCATGCTCCTGCCGCGCATGCTCCTGCCGCGCATGCTCCTGCCGCGCATGCTCCTGCCGCGCATGCTCCTGCCGCGCATGCTCCTGCCGCGCATGCTCCTGCCGCGCATGCTCCTGCCGCGCATGCTCCTGCCGCGCATGCTCCTGCCGCGCATGCTCCTGCCGCGCATGCTCCTGCCGCGCATGCTCCTGCCGCGCATGCTCCTGCCGCGCATGCTCCTGCCGCGCATGCTCCTGCCGCGCATGCTCCTGCCGCGCATGCTCCTGCCGCGCATGCTCCTGCCGCGCATGCTCCTGCCGCGCATGCTCCTGCCGCGCATGCTCCTGCCGCGCATGCTCCTGCCGCGCATGCTCCTGCCGCGCATGCTCCTGCCGCGCATGCTCCTGCCGCGCATGCTCCTGCCGCGCATGCTCCTGCCGCGCATGCTCCTGCCGCGCATGCTCCTGCCGCGCATGCTCCTGCCGCGCATGCTCCTGCCGCGCATGCTCCTGCCGCGCATGCTCCTGCCGCGCATGCTCCTGCCGCGCATGCTCCTGCCGCGCATGCTCCTGCCGCGCATGCTCCTGCCGCGCATGCTCCTGCCGCGCATGCTCCTGCCGCGCATGCTCCTGCCGCGCATGCTCCTGCCGCGCATGCTCCTGCCGCGCATGCTCCTGCCGCGCATGCTCCTGCCGCGCATGCTCCTGCCGCGCATGCTCCTGCCGCGCATGCTCCTGCCGCGCATGCTCCTGCCGCGCATGCTCCTGCCGCGCATGCTCCTGCCGCGCATGCTCCTGCCGCGCATGCTCCTGCCGCGCATGCTCCTGCCGCGCATGCTCCTGCCGCGCATGCTCCTGCCGCGCATGCTCCTGCCGCGCATGCTCCTGCCGCGCATGCTCCTGCCGCGCATGCTCCTGCCGCGCATGCTCCTGCCGCGCATGCTCCTGCCGCGCATGCTCCTGCCGCGCATGCTCCTGCCGCGCATGCTCCTGCCGCGCATGCTCCTGCCGCGCATGCTCCTGCCGCGCATGCTCCTGCCGCGCATGCTCCTGCCGCGCATGCTCCTGCCGCGCATGCTCCTGCCGCGCATGCTCCTGCCGCGCATGCTCCTGCCGCGCATGCTCCTGCCGCGCATGCTCCTGCCGCGCATGCTCCTGCCGCGCATGCTCCTGCCGCGCATGCTCCTGCCGCGCATGCTCCTGCCGCGCATGCTCCTGCCGCGCATGCTCCTGCCGCGCATGCTCCTGCCGCGCATGCTCCTGCCGCGCATGCTCCTGCCGCGCATGCTCCTGCCGCGCATGCTCCTGCCGCGCATGCTCCTGCCGCGCATGCTCCTGCCGCGCATGCTCCTGCCGCGCATGCTCCTGCCGCGCATGCTCCTGCCGCGCATGCTCCTGCCGCGCATGCTCCTGCCGCGCATGCTCCTGCCGCGCATGCTCCTGCCGCGCATGCTCCTGCCGCGCATGCTCCTGCCGCGCATGCTCCTGCCGCGCATGCTCCTGCCGCGCATGCTCCTGCCGCGCATGCTCCTGCCGCGCATGCTCCTGCCGCGCATGCTCCTGCCGCGCATGCTCCTGCCGCGCATGCTCCTGCCGCGCATGCTCCTGCCGCGCATGCTCCTGCCGCGCATGCTCCTGCCGCGCATGCTCCTGCCGCGCATGCTCCTGCCGCGCATGCTCCTGCCGCGCATGCTCCTGCCGCGCATGCTCCTGCCGCGCATGCTCCTGCCGCGCATGCTCCTGCCGCGCATGCTCCTGCCGCGCATGCTCCTGCCGCGCATGCTCCTGCCGCGCATGCTCCTGCCGCGCATGCTCCTGCCGCGCATGCTCCTGCCGCGCATGCTCCTGCCGGCGCATGCTCCTAGCCGCGCATGCTCCCTGCCGCGCATGCTCTGTGCCCCTGCCGCGGCATGCTCCTGCCGCGCATGCTCCTGCCGCGCATAGCTCCTGCCGCGCATGCTCCTGCCGCGCATGCTCCTGCCGGCATGCTCCTGCCGCGGCATGCTCCTGCCGGCGCATGCTCCTGCCCGCGCATGCTCCTGCCGCGCATGCTCCTGCCGCGCATGCTCCTGCCGCCAGCTCCTGCCGCGCATGCTCCTGCCGCGCATGCTCCGCGCATGCTTCCTGCCCGCGCATGCTCCTGCGCGCATAGCCTCCTGCCGCGCATGCTCCTGCCGCGCATGCTCCTGCCGGCGCATAGCTCCTGCCGCGCATGCTCTGCGCGCATGCTCTGCCGGACGCATTGCTCCTGCCGCTGCATGCTCCCTGCCGCGCATGCTCCTGCCAGCGCATGCTCCTGCCGCGCATGCTCCTGCCGTCGCATGCTCCCTGCCCGCGCTATAGCTCCTGCCCGCGCATGCTCCTGCCGCGATGCTCCTGCCGCGCATGCTCCCTGCCGCGCATGCTCCTGCCCCCTGCTCGCATGCTCCTGCCGCGCATGCTCCTGCCGCGCATGCTCCTGCCGCGCATGCTCCTGCCGCGCATGCTCCTGCCGCGCATGCTCCTGCCGCGCATGCTCCTGCCGCGCATGCTCCTGCCGCGCATGCTCCTGCCGCGCATGCTCCTGCCGCGCATGCTCCTGCCGCGCATGCTCCTGCCGCGCATGCTCCTGCCGCGCATGCTCCTGCCGCGCATGCTCCTGCCGCGCATGCTCCTGCCGCGCATGCTCCTGCCGCGCATGCTCCTGCCGCGCATGCTCCTGCCGCGCATGCTCCTGCCGCGCATGCTCCTGCCGCGCATGCTCCTGCCGCGCATGCTCCTGCCGCGCATGCTCCTGCCGCGCATGCTCCTGCCGCGCATGCTCCTGCCGCGCATGCTCCTGCCGCGCATGCTCCTGCCGCGCATGCTCCTGCCGCGCATGCTCCTGCCGCGCATGCTCCTGCCGCGCATGCTCCTGCCGCGCATGCTCCTGCCGCGCATGCTCCTGCCGCGCATGCTCCTGCCGCGCATGCTCCTGCCGCGCATGCTCCTGCCCGCGCATGCTCCTGCCGCGCATGCTCCTGCCGCGCATGCTCCTGCCGCGCATGCTCCTGCCGCGCATGGCTCCTAGCACGCCATGCTCCTGCCGCGCATGCTCCTGCCGCTCATGCTCCGCCGCGCATGCTCCTGCCGCGCATGCTCCTAGCCCGCGCATGCTCCTGCCGCGCATGCCTCCTGCCCGCATGCTCCTGCCGCGCATGCTCCTGCCGCGCATGCTCCTGCCGCGCATGCTCCTGCCGCGCATGCTCCTGCCGCGCATGCTCCTGCGCGCATGAGCTCCTGCCGCGCATGCTCCTAGGCCGCGCATGCGCCTTGCCGCGCATGCTCCTGCCGCGCATGCTCCTGCCGCGCATGCTCCTGCGCGCATGCTCTGCGCGCATGCTCCTGCCGCGCATGCTCCTGCCGCGCATGCCTCCTGCCGCGCATGCTCCTGCCGCGCATGCTCCTGCCGCGCATTGCTCCTGCCGCGCATGCTCCTGCCGCGCATGCTCCTGCCGCGCATGCTCCTGCCGCGCATGCTCCTGCCGCGCATGCTCCTGCCGCGCATGCTCCTGCCGCGCATAGCTCCTGCCGCGATGCTCCTGCCGCGCATGCTCCTGCCGCGCATGCTCCTGCCGCGCATGCTCCTGCCGCGCATGCTCCTGCCGCGCATGCTCCTGCCGCGCATGCTCCTGCCGCGCATGCTCCTGCCGCGCATGCTCCTGCCGCGCATGCTCCTGCCGCGCATGCTCCTGCCGCGCATGCTCCTGCCGCGCATGCTCCTGCCGCGCATGCTCCTGCCGCGCATGCTCCTGCCGCGCATGCTCCTGCCGCGCATGCTCCTGCCGCGCATGCTCCTGCCGCGCATGCTCCTGCCGCGCATGCTCCTGCCGCGCATGCTCCTGCCGCGCATGCTCCTGCCGCGCATGCTCCTGCCGCGCATGCTCCTGCCGCGCATGCTCCTGCCGCGCATGCTCCTGCCGCGCATGCTCCTGCCGCGCATGCTCCTGCCGCGCATGCTCCTGCCGCGCATGCTCCTGCCGCGCATGCTCCTGCCGCGCATGCTCCTGCCGCGCATGCTCCTGCCGCGCATGCTCCTGCCGCGCATGCTCCTGCCGCGCATGCTCCTGCCGCGCATGCTCCTGCCGCGCATGCTCCTGCCGCGCATGCTCCTGCCGCGCATGCTCCTGCCGCGCATGCTCCTGCCGCGCATGCTCCTGCCGCGCATGCTCCTGCCGCGCATGCTCCTGCCGCGCATGCTCCTGCCGCGCATGCTCCTGCCGCGCATGCTCCTGCCGCGCATGCTCCTGCCGCGCATGCTCCTGCCGCGCATGCTCCTGCCGCGCATGCTCCTGCCGCGCATGCTCCTGCCGCGCATGCTCCTGCCGCGCATGCTCCTGCCGCGCATGCTCCTGCCGCGCATGCTCCTGCCGCGCATGCTCCTGCCGCGCATGCTCCTGCCGCGCATGCTCCTGCCGCGCATGCTCCTGCCGCGCATGCTCCTGCCGCGCATGCTCCTGCCGCGCATGCTCCTGCCGCGCATGCTCCTGCCGCGCATGCTCCTGCCGCGCATGCTCCTGCCGCGCATGCTCCTGCCGCGCATGCTCCTGCCGCGCATGCTCCTAGCCGCGCATGCTCCTGCCGCGCATGCTCCTGCCGCGCATGCTCCTGCCGCGCATGCTCCTGCCGCGCATGCTCCTGCCCGCGCATGCTCCTGCCAGCGCATGCTCCTGCCGCGCATGCTCCTGCCGCGCATGCTCCTGCCCGCATGCTCCTGCCGCGCATGCTCCTGCCGCGCATGCTCCTGCCGCGCATGCTCCTGCCGCGCATGCTCCTGCCGCGCATGCTCCTGCCGCGCATGCTCCTGCCGCGCATGCTCCTGCCGCGCATGCTCCTGCCGCGCATGCTCCTTGCCGCGCATGCTCCTGCCGCGCATGCTCCTGCCGCGCATGCTCCTGCCGCGCATGCTCCTGCCGCGCATGCTCCTGCCGCGCATGCTCCTGCCGCGCATGCTCCTGCCGCGCATGCTCCTGCCGCGCATGCTCCTGCCGCGCATGCTCCTGCCGCGCATGCTCCTGCCGCGCATGCTCCTGCCGCGCATGCTCCTGCCGCGCATGCTCCTGCCGCGCATGCTCCCTGCCGCGCATGCTCATGCCGCGCATTGCTCCTGCCGCGCATGCTCCTGCCGCGCATGCTCCTGCCGCGCATGCTCCTGCCGCGCATGCTCCTGCCGCGCATGCTCCTGCCGCGCATGCTCCTGCCGCGCATGCTCCTGCCGCGCATCTCCTGCCGCGCATGCTCCTGGCCTCGCGCATGCTCCTGCCGCGCATGCTCCTGCCGCGCATTGCTCCTGCCGCGCAATGCTCCTGCCCGCGCATGCTCCTGCGCGCATGCTCCATGCCGCGCATGCTCCTGCCGCGCATGCTCCTGCCGCGCATGCTCCTGCCGCGCATGCTCCTGCCGCGCATGCTCATGCCGCGCATGCTCCTGCCGCGCAATGCTCCTGCCGCGCATGCTCTGCCGCGCATGCTCATGCCGCGCATGCGTCCCTGCCGCGCATGCTCCTGCCGCGCATGCTCCTGCCGCGCATGCTCACTGCCGCGCATGCTCCTGCGCGCATGCTCCTGCCGCGCATGCTCCTGCCGCGCATGCTCCTGCCGCGCATGCTCCTGCCGCGCATGCTCCTGCCGCGCATGCTCCTGCCGCGCATGCTATGCTCCTGCCGCGCATGCTGGCATGCTCTGCCGCGCATGCTCCTGCCGCGCATGCTCCTGCCGCGCATGCTCCTGCCGCGCATGCTCCTGCCGCGCATGCTCCTGCCGCGCATGCTCCTGCCGCGCATGCTCCTGCCGCGCATGCTCCTGCCGCGCATGCTCCTGCCGCGCATGCTCCTGCCGCGCATGCTCCTGCCGCGCATGCTCCTGCCGCGCATGCTCCTGCCGCGCATGCTCCTGCCGCGCATGCTCCTGCCGCGCATGCTCCTGCCGCGCATGCTCCTGCCGCGCATGCTCCTGCCGCGCATGCTCCTGCCGCGCATGCTCCTGCCGCGCATGCTCCTGCCGCGCATGCTCCTGCCGCGCATGCTCCTGCCGCGCATGCTCCTGCCGCGCATGCTCCTGCCGCGCATGCTCCTGCCGCGCATGCTCCTGCCGCGCATGCTCCTGCCGCGCATGCTCCTGCCGCGCATGCTCCTGCCGCGCATGCTCCTGCCGCGCATGCTCCTGCCGCGCATGCTCCTGCCGCGCATGCTCCTGCCGCGCATGCTCCTGCCGCGCATGCTCCTGCCGCGCATGCTCCTGCCGCGCATGCTCCTGCCGCGCATGCTCCTGCCGCGCATGCTCCTGCCGCGCATGCTCCTGCCGCGCATGCTCCTGCCGCGCATGCTCCTGCCGCGCATGCTCCTGCCGCGCATGCTCCTGCCGCGCATGCTCCTGCCGCGCATGCTCCTGCCGCGCATGCTCCTGCCGCGCATGCTCCTGCCGCGCATGCTCCTGCCGCGCATGCTCCTGCCGCGCATGCTCCTGCCGCGCATGCTCCTGCCGCGCATGCTCCTGCCGCGCATGCTCCTGCCGCGCATGCTCCTGCCGCGCATGCTCCTGCCGCGCATGCTCCTGCCGCGCATGCTCCTGCCGCGCATGCTCCTGCCGCGCATGCTCCTGCCGCGCATGCTCCTGCCGCGCATGCTCCTGCCGCGCATGCTCCTGCCGCGCATGCTCCTGCCGCGCATGCTCCTGCCGCGCATGCTCCTGCCGCGCATGCTCCTGCCGCGCATGCTCCTGCCGCGCATGCTCCTGCCGCGCATGCTCCTGCCGCGCATGCTCCTGCCGCGCATGCTCCTGCCGCGCATGCTCCTGCCGCGCATGCTCCTGCCGCGCATGCTCCTGCCGCGCATGCTCCTGCCGCGCATGCTCCTGCCGCGCATGCTCCTGCCGCGCATGCTCCTGCCGCGCATGCTCCTGCCGCGCATGCTCCTGCCGCGCATGCTCCTGCCGCGCATGCTCCTGCCGCGCATGCTCCTGCCGCGCATGCTCCTGCCGCGCATGCTCCTGCCGCGCATGCTCCTGCCGCGCATGCTCCTGCCGCGCATGCTCCTGCCGCGCATGCTCCTGCCGCGCATGCTCCTGCCGCGCATGCTCCTGCCGCGCATGCTCCTGCCGCGCATGCTCCTGCCGCGCATGCTCCTGCCGCGCATGCTCCTGCCGCGCATGCTCCTGCCGCGCATGCTCCTGCCGCGCATGCTCCTGCCGCGCATGCTCCTGCCGCGCATGCTCCTGCCGCGCATGCTCCTGCCGCGCATGCTCCTGCCGCGCATGCTCCTGCCGCGCATGCTCCTGCCGCGCATGCTCCTGCCGCGCATGCTCCTGCCGCGCATGCTCCTGCCGCGCATGCTCCTGCCGCGCATGCTCCTGCCGCGCATGCTCCTGCCGCGCATGCTCCTGCCGCGCATGCTCCTGCCGCGCATGCTCCTGCCGCGCATGCTCCTGCCGCGCATGCTCCTGCCGCGCATGCTCCTGCCGCGCATGCTCCTGCCGCGCATGCTCCTGCCGCGCATGCTCCTGCCGCGCATGCTCCTGCCGCGCATGCTCCTGCCGCGCATGCTCCTGCCGCGCATGCTCCTGCCGCGCATGCTCCTGCCGCGCATGCTCCTGCCGCGCATGCTCCTGCCGCGCATGCTCCTGCCGCGCATGCTCCTGCCGCGCATGCTCCTGCCGCGCATGCTCCTGCCGCGCATGCTCCTGCCGCGCATGCTCCTGCCGCGCATGCTCCTGCCGCGCATGCTCCTGCCGCGCATGCTCCTGCCGCGCATGCTCCTGCCGCGCATGCTCCTGCCGCGCATGCTCCTGCCGCGCATGCTCCTGCCGCGCATGCTCCTGCCGCGCATGCTCCTGCCGCGCATGCTCCTGCCGCGCATGCTCCTGCCGCGCATGCTCCTGCCGCGCATGCTCCTGCCGCGCATGCTCCTGCCGCGCATGCTCCTGCCGCGCATGCTCCTGCCGCGCATGCTCCTGCCGCGCATGCTCCTGCCGCGCATGCTCCTGCCGCGCATGCTCCTGCCGCGCATGCTCCTGCCGCGCATGCTCCTGCCGCGCATGCTCCTGCCGCGCATGCTCCTGCCGCGCATGCTCCTGCCGCGCATGCTCCTGCCGCGCATGCTCCTGCCGCGCATGCTCCTGCCGCGCATGCTCCTGCCGCGCATGCTCCTGCCGCGCATGCTCCTGCCGCGCATGCTCCTGCCGCGCATGCTCCTGCCGCGCATGCTCCTGCCGCGCATGCTCCTGCCCGCGCATGCTCCTGCACGACGCATGCTCCTGCCGCGCATGCATCCTGCCGCGCATGCTCCTGCCGTGCATGCTCCTAGCCGCGCATGCCTCCTGGCCGCGCATGCTCCTGCCGCGCATGCTCCTGCCCGCGCATGGCTCCTGCCCGCGCATGCGCCTGCCGCGCATGCTCCTGCCGCGCAATAGCTCCTGGCCGCGCATGCTTCCTGACGCGCCATGCTCTCTGCCGCGCATGCTCCTGCCGCGCAATGCTCCTGCCGCGCAATGCTCCTGCCGGCGCCATGGCTCCTCTGCCGAGCGCATGCTCCTGCCGCGCATGCCTTCCTGCCGCGCATGCTCCTGCCGCGCATGCTCCTGCCGCGCATGCTCCTAGCCAGCGCATAGCTCCTGCCCGCGCATGCTCCTGCCGCGCATGCTCCTTGCAGCTGCCGTGTAATGTTAAATGCTCCTGCCGGCGCGATGGCTCCTGCCGCGCATGCTCCTGCCGCGCATGCTCCTGCCGCGCATGCTCCTGCCGCGCATGCTCCTGCCGCGCATGCTCCTGCCCGCGCATAGGCTCCTGCTCCTGCCGCGCATGCTCCTGCCGCGCATGCCTGCGCATGCTCCTGCCGCGCATGCTCCTGCCGCGCATGCTCCTGCCGCGCATGCTCCTGCCGCGCATGCTCCTGCCGCGCATGCTCCTGCCGCGCATGCTCCTGCCGCGCATGCTCCTGCCGCGCATGCTCCTGCCGCGCATGCTCCTGCCGCGCATGCTCCTGCCGCGCATGCTCCTGCCGCGCATGCTCCTGCCGCGCATGCTCCTGCCGCGCATGCTCCTGCCGCGCATGCTCCTGCCGCGCATGCTCCTGCCGCGCATGCTCCTGCCGCGCATGCTCCTGCCGCGCATGCTCCTGCCGCGCATGCTCCTGCCGCGCATGCTCCTGCCGCGCATGCTCCTGCCGCGCATGCTCCTGCTCCTCCTTCTGCTACTCCTGCTCCTGCTGCTGCTGCGGGTGCTGCTGCTAATGTGGCGGCTTCTCAAGCCGATCTTCTTTCAAGAAAAGGAGAGGAGAGACGGCCGCAGGGAGTCAGAGAGGGCAGGGCCACAGAGGAAGCAGGGCAGGGCGAGGGATGTGAAGAGGTGAGGAGGGGGAGCTGTGTGTTGTCTCCGTTCCCCATGCGAGGGAGGAAGGTGGCAGCAAAGGGAGCAGTGCAGCAGCATGTGCAAGAGGCACAGCACGAGTCACAGGTACCACCGGTGCAGCCTGTTTCGCAGGCGGCGGCACACGTGCATGTGAGCAATCCGGACACTCGGCAAGGAGGGACAAGTGTTGAGGGGAGGGTGCGGGGTGGTGAGGCGGAGGAGGAAGCTGAGGATGCGGTTGCTGGCGCATGTGGAGGTCTTGCCAGAGGGCGAGGGGGGCCAGGAGGAGTGAATGGAGGGCAGCGTGCAGAGAAAGATGTGATATGCTTAGATGATGACGATGAGGCGGAGGAGAAGAAGGCATATGGAGAGGCATGTGAGGTGGCAAGTGAAGTGGCATGTGAGGAGGAGGAGGCATGTGAGGAGGAGGCAAGTGAGGAGGAAGAGGAGGGGGAGGGCGAGGAGGATGATTTCCTAGACGGGCTGCTTCATGCTGCTGATGACCTCGCCCCCCCTGCACGCACTGTGCCTGCTGCTATGCCCATGGGGCGGGCAACCGAAGTAACAGCAAAGGCGCCAGCTGCAGCAGACAGAGCAGTAGGAGGCGGAGGGGCGGAAGCAGCAGACGCAGGAGCACCAGGGGCAGCAGCAATGAGAGTGCCAGTACCGCCTTTTCCTGTAGGCGAGGCGGAGGAAGAAGGATGGAGAGGAGGTGTGGCACGTGCGACGGAAGCGAGAGGAGGAGAGCGGGCAGGTGGGAGCGAGGGGCATGTGGAACAAGCCTGTGGTGCTGGTGCAGCGGGCAGGGGAGAACGGGGGGAGGACGGCGAGGGGGGCAGGCGAAGGGAGGTAGAGAGTGAGTGGGGAGGGGAGTGGATGCAAGGGGAGGAGTATGGCGATGAACAGGAGAAGATGGAGCCACTGTTGTCACATTCAGGTGAGCAACAGGTGGGCCAATGTCAATGATTGGTACGCATGCAATGTTGCTGCTCGCTCTTGTATAATACTCTGAATGAATGCACTGTGGGTACAACATTTGAGGTGTCCCAAAAGTCAGGCGTGCAATTTTGCTGCGCTCTGTTGAGCGGTCCTCTCCTCTGTACTAGTGCACTTTCGGATTACAACTTGAAACTGGTCCTGCCATGCCATATATGCTGTTGTTGCTGTCGTTAGTGTCGTTGGTGTCATGTCCTGTCATATAGTGTATTCCACTTCACGGATGAATCGCTCGGCGAGCGTGGCAGCACGCTTGAGTCAGATCCTTCTGTCCATGCATGTCCATCCATCCTGCACCATCGCGCACACCGTTTCCACCTCCTTGTCTCTCACTCTCTCCCTCCCTCTCTTCTTGCACCCTCTCTTCCCCACGTCCCAATCGTGCCTCCTCTTCCTCCACCCCAGCCCTCCCAGCCCCACAGTTCTCTCGCCTCGCACACTCCTCTCTCCCCTCTCTCAACCGCCACAAGCCACAACCCGCCTTCCTCTCCTCAGCTCGCTCTTTTGCCCACTCAAACCGCTCTCAATACCAGCAGCAGCAGGGAGGGCATTCAGGGGGGCAGGTGCATGTGCACGTGTCGGGTCGCAAGGCTGCTTTTGTGCTGGCTCCGAAGCACCTTCCTGGCATGCACGACCCATGCGTGTATGCCGCTCCTGTGCGCAATGCTGCTGGTAATTGCAGCAACAGCAGCAGCGGCACCACAGCAACTGCTGCCGCCACTGCCCGAGCTGCTACTGCCAATGGTACCACCACTGCCACTGCTGCTGCTGCTGCTGCTGCTGCTGGTGCTGATGATGATGATGCTGGTGCTGGAGCAGGGATTCAAGCCGGTTCCACTGGCAGCATACACAGCCAGCACGTGATCTCTGCTCGCACCTCGTTGCCGTCGTGTGCTTCTCCTCCTCTTCCATCTCTCTCCACTGCTCCTCTCGTGGCCATGGGTCCTGATGGCAGGGGTGGGGTGCAACGGATACTCAAGCTTAGCAGCACCAAGGTGAGTGAGTGGTCTGAACAGAGAGAGTTATACTTTTGCTCTGAGTGCCATCCTTGTTGGTGTTACTTGTGCATTGAAGTGTCAATTGACATCCTTTGCACTGGAGAAATGTGCTGCACTGGAGAAATGTGCTGCACTGGAGAAATGTGCTGCACTGGAGAAATGTGCTGCACTGGAGAAATGTGCTGCACTGGAAATGTGTGTGCTGCACTTACATGTCGTTTTTAGTGAATATGCTCACCGGCTCCTCCTTCCTCTTTCTCCGTTTTAACCCTCTGCTGCCGCCCTCTCTCCTCCAGCTTTCACGGTCAGCACTTCCCGCCAAGCGCAAGCTGGTAAAGGGCAAGCCACAAGCAGGAGCAGCAAGAGCGAAGGACATGCACCGCATAGATGGGTACTTCAGCCGGCAACGATGATGGACCAAAATGGTGGTAAATGTGTGAGAAGGTCCAGCTGGGATAGGCAAGCAGCAAGAGCAAAGGACATGCACCGCATAGATGGGTACTTCAATCGGCAACGATGATGGATGGAATGGAAGATGTGGACAAGTTTCAGCTGGGGCAGGAAAGCAGCAGCACCAGATAGGAGATGAAAAGTTGGGGGAGGGTATGTTATGCTACGAGGCTCCCACCGTACATTTTGCCATGCTTTTTGCAAGCAAACGCGTGCGTCTAGGGAAGTGTACCATATTGTATGTTCGCTAGCTTCTGTTCCAAAATCTATTCAAGGGTAAAATGCTTTTGACCCTTTAGGTTCATAATCTGTTTCAGAGTGTACATGCTTATGTTTTTCAAAATCTATAGAAACGGATTATGAACCTTTAGGGAGAGAAGAATAGTAGTTGTACCAACAAAACCACTCCAGAGGCAACTATAGCCGACACGTCAGGCGGGCCCACTCCCTGCCAGTTACCACGCACCTTCCTGAGCAAAGGGCACAATTCCAGCCCATTCCACACACCGCACTCTCGATTTCTCGCCTCCTACGCCGCCGCCAGCATGCACGTGCCCCACCCCCACCATGGCCCCTCCTCTGGCCACGCAAGCCCCGCTGCCTCGTGTGCTCGGCGGTATTCCCAAAGGGCCCCCACCACTCGCCTCATCCCCCCAGCCCCTCATCCCCGCTGCGCCGCGGATCCGCGGAGAAAGAGATTCTTCTCGGCGTACGCGCTCGTCACCGTCGTACTAGCTAGCCGCAGGCGCAATGCGGGGCAGGTCAATGCAGGGCTGGTCAAGAGCAGCAAGTGATAGATGCGCTAATGCCGCGGAGCGGACGACCCGTCTCCTTCACCCGGCGAAAGAAAGATGGGCTATCCCTGTGTTTCCTCAGTGTCGCCTCGTCCTTTGGAGTGCTGTGCAAGTGCGGTTTCTGCTTTCGACTGGAAAAAAAGACGGAGAACGGAGTCTCTCTTTCAAGTCTCGACCGAGTGTGGCGTATATCAGATCTGAAAGAGCTTGTGGAACCTAAGGGGAGACAATATCATTGTCGTCATCATGTCGAGGCGTTTCGCTCGATCCGCGGCTTCGTCATTTCGAGCGTGCTCCTGTCGCGTGCCTCTGCTTTCCCGCCAACCGCCCAACACGTGCAACCACCCACCGCTCGTCCCTCTTTACTCCACCCCGTGCTTCTCGCCCCTCGCTGCAATCACACCCAGCGCGTCACTCCACGCTTACACGATAAACCCCTCGGTACACAACAGCCTGACCTCGAGATCCCTTCCACCGTTACAAACACTCTCCAAGTCCGGTCTTTGGGGAAAAGCCCGCGAGTCGAACGCGCCTAAGCCCCAGCCGCGGCAGTACGAGTCTCTAACGGTGCGTGCAGGCGCGCCCGTTTCGCTGAGCCATCGCCACTGGCAGGGGCAGCAGCTGCAGCAGCAGGGGCAGTGGCAGCGGCAGGGGCAGTGGAAGGAGCAGCAGCGGGGATTGCAGCAGTGGGAGCAGCGGCGGTGGGTGACGTACATGCCTCGGCCAGGGGAGAGCGCACCCCGCACGGTGACGCTGATGCCTGGGGATGGCATTGGCCCGCTCGTTGCTGACGCCGTGGTGCAGGTGCGTGTGTGTGTGTGCATGCTGTGAGGATGGTGCAGGCGCGTGCGTGCACAGATGTAAAGGTGTTGAGATGAAGGTGATGCGTGCGTGTGTGTTGCTGCTGCTGCCTGGGGATGGCATTGGCCCTCTCGTTGCTGCTGAGGCCGTGGTGCAGGTGCTTGCGATGTGTGTGATGCTATGTTGTGAGGGTGCTGGGATGAAAAGTGATGCGTGTGTGATGTTGCTGCTGTGACTTCCCTGATCTGCCCTTATCTGCCCTGATCTGCCCTGACCTGTCCTGACCTGCCCTGACCTGTCCTGACCTGCTCATTCTGCTTTGAGCCCTGAACTACCTGAGGCTGAGTTCCCACAGCTGTCCAGGCTTGCCTTTCCCCCCGACCTCATGTATCTCTCCCCTTCCCATCCCACCTGCTTTCCCTTGCTGTGCGCGCTCCCCGCTGCCCCTCGCAGGTGCTGGCGGCCATGCGGGCACCGGTGCAGTTTGAGGTGTGTGAGATCAGCGGCAGGATGCCGCGCCTGCCTGCAGACGTGCTGGACTCGCTGCACCGCAACGGCGTTGGGCTCAAAGGTGGCCTCGCCACGCCTGTGAGTGCTCCGCCTGGTCTGCGCCTTGTGAGTGCAGTGCAACTTGCACGCCCATCTCTGAGTCGGCTCTATGATCAGACGTGCTGGACTCGTTGCACCGCAACGGCGTCGGGCTCAAGGGCGGCCTCGCCACACCTGTGAGTGCTCTCTGCTCTGTGCCTTGTGAGTGCAGTGTGACGCCTTGCATGCCTGCACTGCAGTGCACTGCACTGCACTGCACTGCACTGCACTGCACTGCACTGCACGCCCGTTGTGAAGTCGACTCAAAAAGCACTCATGCTGGACTCGTAGGATCCAAGATCCAATGCTGTTGGCCGCAAGGGCGGCCCCGCCCCACCCCTGTCATTTCAGAAAAGACCACCTTTGATAACAGTGCTGTTGACGCTGCCATGCCGACCTGCTTTCCGCGCCTCGCCAGCGCTCTGCCGGTCAGCGGGGGACATGGGATGGGACATGTATGTGGCGAGCCTCTGAGAACGTTCTGCCACGCTTCTAAGAACATGTTGCCATGCTTCTGCGAAGAGCCAAGTCCGAGGGCCCTACATTCAGCTGTTGATGCCGCCGCTGAGTGACCTCCTTTCCTCCTCTATCCTCCCCCTGCGTGCAGGTGGGCGGGGGAGTGAGCTCCCTCAACATGCGTCTGCGCCAGGAGCTAGACCTCTTCGCCAACCTTGTCTTCTGCCACGACATCCCCATCGCCACCAAACGCCCACACCACCACCACCGCTCCCCTGCACCTTCCTCTCACACCCACACCCACTCCGACGCTCATGACATATCACCTGCGGGTGCTGAGAGCGATTATGGGGATGCAGGAGCGGGAGTGGGGGTGGGGGAGCAGGGGCAGGGGCATGCGCGAAGGGACGTGGCAGAGGCGCTGCGGCGGCGGCCGCGGGGGGTGAACATAGTGGTGGTGCGGGAGAACACGGAGGGCGAGTACAGCGGGCTGGAGCACGAGGTGGTGCCGGGTGTGGTCGAGTCCCTCAAGGTATGCAGCGCGCCAGCCCCTGCCAGCCCCTCTCTAAGGAACTGACCTCTGTGCTCCTTCCTCATCAACGCGTCTGGTTCGTCTGGTCAATTCATATGGTTCCCCGGTGTTGTGTTTCCTCCTTGGTTCCCTTTGGTTTCTCTTGGTTCGTTCTTCTTCGCTCGCTGTGTTGCGCCGTTCAGTTCTACGAATGCGCGTTCGTTTAACTGCCTGCCGCTAATCTGTTTACTGCGACATGGATTCTTGGTTCGTTCAGTCACACACATAGTGCTGCTCTTGGTCACCTTACCCCTCCCGAGTTCTCTTCCCTGCTGCAATCCCTTCCCTGCTGCAATCCCTTCCCTGCTGCAATCCCTTCCCTGCTGCAATCCCTTCCCTGCTGCAATCCCTTCCCTGCTGCAATCCCTTCCCTGCTGCAATCCCTTCCCTGCTGCAATCCCTTCCCTGCTGCAATCCCTTCCCTGCTGCAATCCCTTCCCTGCTGCAATCCCTTCCCTGCTGCAATCCCTTCCCTGCTGCAATCCCTTCCCTGCTGCAATCCCTTCCCTGCTGCAATCCCTTCCCTGCTGCACTCCCTTCCCTGCTGCAATCCCTTCCCTGCTGCACTCCCTTCCCTGCTGCAATCCCTTCCCTGCTGCAATCCCTTCCCTGCTTAGTCTTGCACCTTCGGGCTCCCCTATCCTTTCCCCTACTCCTTCCCCTCCCCCTCCTCCCCCCCAATCTCCCCTCCACCTCCCCGTCTCCGTCCCCCTCCCACTCCCCCCTCATCCCCACCATCCTCCCCCTCCCCCTCCCCCGCCCCCCGCCCCCTCCCTCTTCCCGTCTCCCACCCCAGCTGGTGAGCAAGCTCTGTTCGGAGCGCATAGTGCGGCGCGCTACGCCTTCCACTTGAATTTGAGTCGACTCATAAGCTGCCGTCCTAAACCCTCTCCCCAGGTGGTGAGCAAGTTCTGTTCAGAGCGCATAGCGCGCTACGCCTTCCAGTACGCGTACCTCAACGGGCGTCGCGCAGTCACGGCGGTGCACAAGGCCAACGTCATGAAGGTCTCCGACGGGCTCTTCCTCGACTCGTGCCGCCAGGTGGGATGGGATGAGATGAGATGACATGACATGAGAGCACAGTGGGCCTCGAGGGGCCTGTGTTTGGGGCGCCTTAAAAGCAGTCAACGGGTGTCGCGCCGTCACGGCGGTGCACAAGGCGAACGTCATGAAAGGTCTCCGATGGGCTCTTCCTCGACTCGTGCCGCCAGGTGGGGAAGCCAAGCCAGCGCGCTTTGAGGTGAGGGCCGTGAGGTGCCTCAAACTAGCTACCTGGGCCGTCACGGCGGTGCATAAGGGCTACGTTTTATGAAGGTCTCCGACGGACTCTTCCTCGACTCGTGCCGCCAGGTGTAACCGCTTTGAGGGTTTCGAGGGGTTTGAGGGTTTTGAGGGTGCGTGATGAGTGGCCGGGCACTATCATTGCAAGTGTCGCACGTAGAAGTTTCTCTTTCCCCATCCCCTTCTTACCCTCCCCCTCGGCCCTCCTCGCTTCCCTTCCGAGGCAGGGTAGTTTTTCAGAATTCTAAAAAAATCCATGCAACACGTCACGTTGCTGCAGGGCAGGTGGCGCAGGTGTACCTGCAGCTGGGCGGTACAGACTTCTTAGGCGCCCCAAAAGTTTATCCCATTCCACTTCCCGCTGCCCCCCTCTGCATGTTGTGGTGCAGACGTACCCGCATCTGCGGTGCATCGTGGTGAATTGCTCGTCCACTCACAAGTCATCCCCTTGCACCCCACCCCGCCTGCCTCTCTCCCCCTTTTACCGTTGGTGCATTGGAGTGGGCAGGTGGCCCAATCCCGCCCGCACCTGCGCTACAGCGAGATCATCGTGTACAACTGCTTGTGATTCAACTCAAAGTTATCCGTTCCCTGCTCTTCCGCCCTCCGCTTGTTGCAGTGTTGTGCGGCAGGTGGCGCAGGCGTACCCGCGCCTGCGCTACAGCGAGATCATCGTGTCGTGGACAACTGACTGTGATACCACTCAAGAGTCATCCCGATCCACCCCATTCCCCTCCGCCTCCTCCTCCGCTTGTTGTGCTGTTGTGCGGCAGGTGGCGCAGGCGTACCCGCACCTGCGCTACAGCGAGATCATTGTGGACAACTGCTGCATGCAGCTCGTGCGCCGCCCCCAGCAGTTTGACGTCATGGTGCGGTGCAGGGTGGTGTGGTGCAGGGTGGTGCGGTGCAGGGTGGTGCGGTGCAGGGTAGTGCGGTGCAGGGTGGTGCGGTGCAGGGTGGTGCGGTGCAGGGTGGTGCGGTGTAGGGTGGTGCGGTGGGGGGTGGTGCGGTGCTTGCTGTGGGGGATAGGCATGTGTATGGGGGTGGCACACGAGGGGGCAGCACAGGGGGTGGTGGCACATGGGGTTTGGGTGGGCAATGGGGAGGGGATTGGGGTGGTGGGACGTGAGGTTGTGTGGTGAAGGGTGAGATGGATGGTGGGAAAGGTTGATGACAGCAGTTGCATTTGCGCTGGCAAACGGGCGAGGGAGTAAGCGGGGCATTAAGGGAGGGGATGCTCCGCGGGAGGAGTAATGAGTGTCATCAACCTTTGAGCTGTGTGATTTTGGATGCTGGACGATGGTAGGGTAGGGATTTTTTGAGAATTCTAAAAAAATCCTAGGGATTGGCTGAGCTGGTTTGAGTGTCAATAGCTTCTTTTTGGTTTCAATGAATGAGCTCCATCTTCTTGTTGGTGTGGTCAGTAGCCTGTTTGGATCTGTGTAATTCCAGCTGGAATCTAAGATGTGTTGCGTTGTCTTGTGCCGTGTGTGTCTGCCTGGATGTATACATTTGTGTATGGCTGGTTGTGGGTGGGGTGTTTGTGTGTGCCGGCATACACTTGTGTTGTGGGAGTGTGTGGGTGCATGTGTGCGCATGTCTGTGCATGCATGTGTGTGCATGTGCGCGCATGGTGGAGTGTCATATCTCCCTCCACCCCTGTGCATCAGGTGACGCCCAATCTGTACGGCTCGCTGGTGGCCAACACAGCAGCGGGCATCTGTGGGGGCTCCTATCTCATGCCCGGAGGTACACCAACAGGGATGGCACCGAGATGGGAACTGAACATTGGGGTGGGCACTGCGGTGGCCATCGCAGAGGGCATTGCAGAGGCCATCGCAGAGGGCATTGCAGAGGCCATCGCAGAGGGCATTGCAGAGGCCATCGCAGAGGGCATTGCAGAGGCCATCGCAGAGGGCATTGCAGAGGCCATCGCAGAGGGCATTGCAGAGGCCATCGCAGAGGGCATTGCAGAGGCCATCGCAGAGGGCATTGCAGAGGCCATCGCAGAGGGCATTGCAGAGGCCATCGCAGAGGGCATTGCAGAGGCCATCGCAGAGGGCATTGCAGAGGCCATCGCAGAGGGCATTGCAGAGGCCATCGCAGAGGGCAACTTGTTGCCATGTTTTCAACGTAACATCCCCTCCCCCCCGCCCCCCTCCCTGTTGTTGCATCTCCGCATACCACCTTCCTCCAACATCCCTCTCACCTTCCCCACCTCCCCCCCCCCCCACCCAACTTTTACCCTCCTCCCCGTCCCACCCCTGCCCCCATCCCCCCCCCCCCCCCCCCCCCCCCCCCCCCCTCCGGGCCCTCCCTCCTCCTGCCAGGCAATGTGGGCGACAACGCAGCCGTGTTCGAGCAGGGCGCATCGGCAGGCAACGTGGGCAACGAGCGCATGGTATCAGAGCGCACGGCCAACCCCACGGCGCTGCTGCTCTCAGCAGCCATGATGCTGCACCACCTGCACCTGCCGGTGTTTGCTGACCGAGTGGAGGGGGCCGTGAAGGGCGTGCTGGCCGAGGGGGCCGTGCTCACTCCCGATATGGGGGGTAGGGCCACGACCCAGGATATGGTTGATGCGATTGTGGATAGGCTGGGGTAAGGGTTGCGTGTGAGGGGTAAGGGCATGGATGCGAGAGGATGGTGGAGGTGTTTTGAGCTGTCTCAAAAGAGGCAGGGCGACGACACAGGATATGGCTGATTGTGGACAAACCTGGGCCGGGGCTGGGCCGGAGGGGACGGGAGGGGATGGGAGGGGGCGGGAAAGGATGGGAGGGGACGGGAGGGGATGGGTTCGGGAGGTGACGAGAGGGGACGGAAGTGAATGGTTTTTTTACCGAACGGCACGGGATTGTACAAGGAAGGATGGGGAGGGATGGCTGTGGTATGAACTACCAGACTAGAAGATCCTGAGGGCTTTTCTTAGCCCACGGATGGCGAAAGTTAGAACCTTGCGGTAACAAACGTACTCACTGTTTGACAACCAGCAGTGTGTGATCGTGTATTGCTCTGCCTCAAATACCTACGTTGGCTTTTGAGTCGACTCAAAACATGAAATACTCTACTCTACCACTTGACAACTAGCAGTGTACCATATGATTGGGTATTGCTCTCCTTCAAATACATATGTTAGCTTTTCTTTTAGAAAACATAGGTACAGTACCGATATCTCAGTAGTTCATAAGTTTTGACATGCTTGCACTTTTTGGAGTCCATCGAAACACTGTTACCTAGATAATTTACCATATACTGTAAACCCCAAACACCATCATCCTTAACTTCAATCCGCCCACATCCTTGAACTCCCTGCTTCATGCACCACCCAACACTGCCATACCAAGAGCACACGTTGAGAAGTTTCCAAGGAACACCCTCCTCGTCGCCAGTGCCACTTCCATCCCCACCCCACCACCAACCCACTCACCCAGCCCTCCATTCCTGCCCTTCCGGGTATAGTTCGCAGCTCGAAGTATCAAAGTTGCACTCCGCTCCAGCTGTCCATCTGTCCATCTGCTCTTGCATGGTTTAGCCTCTGCTGTCTCACGCATCTCCTCCAACACTTGCCATTAGGTCCCCTATTCTCCATCAGTTCAGTTCATCCTTCTTTCAACCCATCATTCCACCAATCCATCACTCGACAGGCGCACCCTGCTCGTGGCCACTCAGAGCCTTCCTGCTTGTCCCCTTGGCCTTCCTCTTCTTCCTCTTGGATTTCAATGCCTTCTTCTCCTCACTCTTCTTCATGACCTTGTCCGAGCGCCCACTAGCAACTGCACTGCCACCAGCTTCTGTGGCCTCCCCTTGTGCCCTTTCTGCTTCTGCTCCTTCCGCCCCTTCCGCCCCTCCTGCTGCCTCCACACCTGCTGCCACCACTTGTTCTTCTGACTTTGCACCTTCCTCTTCCCCCTCTCCCCCCTCCCCCCCTTCTCCCCCCTCTCCCTTCACTCCCTTCACCTCCTCATGGTCCTCCTCACTCAACCCCTCTGAAGATCCTCCCACTTTCTTCGCCTTCGCCTCGCCTTTACTCAACTTTGACTTGCTCTTCCCCTTCCCCGTCTTCCTCGTTTCCCTCTCCTCCACTTCATCCCCACCCCCCTCCACCCCACCACTCTCCTGCTGTCCCCTCATCTCATCTCCCCCTTTCCTCACCTCCCCTGCTGCCTCGCCGTCTGTCCCAGCCGCATCATCTCCCTTCTCTGAACTTCTGCCATTCCCATTCCCACCCGTAGCCTCACCAACACCTGCCAGAGCAAGCGAAACCACTGCCTTCCCATCCTTGCTCGCAGCTTCACTGCCATCAACACTGCCATCACCACTGCCATCACCACTGCCAGCCACCCCACCCTTCCCACCTGTACGTGCCTCTCCATGCGCATCTGGGGCACCACCACCATCACCCGCATGCCCCACCTGATCAGGTACAGCCATCAGGTCCTCTCCCTCCTGCACCGCCCTCCCTTCCGCTGCCAGCGTTGCCGCCGCACTCCCCGCTGCCTCTGCTGCAGCTCCTGCCGTGGCTGTCCTGTTGCCTGCTGCCTCTGCAGAAACATCCTCCCACTCTTTCTCCACCACCTCAGGCTCGCTCCTGCTGCCCGTTGTGCCATTGCTAGCAGCCCCACTCTTGCTGCTGGTGTTGTGAGGGGTATCGCCACTATGAGGCGTGGCAATACCAGTGGTGTCACTGTCAGCTGCCGGTTTATCATCTCCCAATCCTGCTGATCGTTTCGCATCATCACTCCCACTGCCAGTAGTATTATTCTCTGCTGTGGCCTCACCTGCCAAAGCCGACAGACTCTTCGCCTTGCTCTTCCTCCTCTTCTCCCCCTTCACCTCCTCCTCCACCACATCCTCCTCCTCCCCCTCCTCCTCCCCCTCCCCTTCCCTGCTCTTCTCGTCCACACTTTTCCCCTCCTTCCGTCGCTGGCTCTTCTTCGCTGTTGCCCGTTCTTTCACCTTCTCCTTCTCTTTGCCCCCCTCCCTCTCCTCCTCTGTAGCCTCCTCCTCATTTTCCACCTTGCTCTGCCTCTTCCCCTCCTCATCCGCATCCGCCCCGCCTTCCACTGCAGCCTGCCCACCATCCGTCCTCTCCACCCCTTCTTCATCTCTAGCTACGGAACGAATCCCCTTCCCACCATCACCACCATCATCAGCACCATCCCTTCCCTCCCCTCGCTTTTCCTCCTCCTTCCGCTCCCCCTCCTCCCCCTCCTCCAGCTTACCTGCTGCACTACCTGCCTTCCCCTTCACTACTACTCCCAGAATTTCGTTCTTGCCCTTACTCTTGCTCTTAATCTTACTCTTGCTCTTAATCTTACTCTTGCTCTTAATCTTACTCTGGCCTTTGGTCTGCTTCAGCCCTTCTCCATCTTCCCCCGCACTCAGACCATCACCCGCATCATCTTTCCCCTCACCGCTCTTCCCATCGCTCTCCACCTCCTCCTCGCCCGGCTCACCTTGCTCCGCCTCTCCCTCGCCATCACCTCCCCTGCCAGCTTTCCTCACCTTCTCCCCCTTCACTGCATCTGTCACCGGCCTTCTTGCACCCCCTCCACTCTCCTCCACTTCCTCCCCCTCCTCGTCCTTTGCACCATCCTCATCACCTGCTTCTTTCTTTGCCTTCCCTTCACCCCTTTCCTTCACTCCTTTGCCCTCTGCTTTTCCCTCCTCGTCCCCCTCCGCTTCCTCTTCCACTTCCTCTTCCATTTTGCCCTTTGCTTTTCCCTCTGCCTTCCCCTTCACCACCTTCCCTGCATCACTCTCCGGTGGTCCATTCCCATAAGTCCCTGCAACGCCTTTCCCCCCTCCTCCTCCACCCGCCCCTTCAACCACCTCCTCTCTCTCCTCTTCCTTCTCTTTCTCCCCCACAATGGCCAATGGTTTCTTAGTATCCTCTGAAGCATCTCCCTTCTCCTTCTTCTTCTCCCTCTTCTTCTCCTCCTCATCCTCCTCCTCCTTCTCATTCTCTTTCACACTACCCGATTCTCTTTCTGCTGCTGCGCCCTCCTTGCCGTGTCCTTTGCCCGGGCCATGCACCTTCTTCTTTGCCTTCTTCCTCTCCTCACGTGCCACTTCCTCCTCCTCTCCTTCCCCCCCTTCCTCCCCTGCCTCCTCCCCTTGCTCCTCCTCCTCCACCACCTCCTCCCCCTCCTCCTTCCCGTTCGCCAACCCTTTCCCCCTTTCAACCGCTACACCCTTCCGCACTTTCCCGCTACCCTCGCCCCTGTCCGCCTCCCCTGTGCCTCCCGTCGCTGTGCTCTCCTTCACTCCAGTGTACAGAGAGCCGCTACCTCCCTGCCTCTCCTCGCCATCATCACTCTTCTTCTTCACACGACTCTCTTTACCCTTACCCTCCGCATCAGCATCAGCATCGGCATCAGCATCAGCATTCGCAGCACCTTCACTCTCAGCCTCGCCACCATCTTCAGCCTCCTTCATCCCCTCCTTCGCCTTCCCCTTGCCCTTCTGCGTGCGAGCCTTTACCTTGATATCCCCCACCTCTCCTTCCTCCCCTTCCGACTCTCCCTCTCCCCCCTCCACAGCTTCTCGTTTTGCCTTCTTTCCCTTGTCCTTCCTTCCTTTGCTCCTCACATCGACTTCCTCTCCTCCCTCTCCTCCCTCCCCTCCATCACCTCCCTCTCCTCCCTCCTCCCCCTCCCCCTCCTCCTCCGCCTGCGCCTCTTCCTCCTCCTCCTCATCCACAGGGTCAGCACCCACAGTCTCTTCAGCATCTGCCACCACAACAGGTTTCTTACTCACAGGAATATGACTCATTATCACTCCCGGCTCAATCACTACCCTCTCCTCCTCTGCTTCCTCTGCACTTCCCTCCCCCTCTCCACTCCTTTCTCCCTCGCCCTCCTTACCCTCCTGCGCTCCATCCTCACTCTCTTCGTCTTCACCCTTCCCACCCACGCCCTTACCCACCTGCTTCGTCTTTGTCCTTCCTTTCGTCCCTTCTCCCACTGTAACCCTCTCCTTCGTTCCCCCATCTCCAATCACACTCTTTTTCGCCCCTTTCTTCACCTTCTGCACCTTCCTTTCCGCTGCCTTCACCCCCTCTTCTTCAGCAGCTTCATCCCCTCTCTCCCCATCCTCTTCCTCTCCAGTCCCTGTCGTCTCCGCCTCACCCTCCTCAGTTCCTTCAGTCTCAACCTTTCTCCCAGCCTTCGTCCCCTTAGTCCGCTTCGAATTCCGCTCCCCACTCTTCCCCTTCTTTGCAGCCATCTCCTTTCTAAGCCACTCCTCACCCTCCTCGCTCTCCTCTCCTGCACCCTCATCATCCTCCCCCACACCCCCCTCGCCACTCCTGCTCGTCTCCTCCCTGCCTCTCGTCGACTTCCTAACCGCCTTCTTCTCAGTCTTGCCCCCATCCTCCCCTTCTCCCTCTACCTCCTCTTCTCCCCCTTCCTTTTCACCCTCCTCGCCACCCGTGTCCCCGCCTTCTCTTCGTCTTTTCCCCTTCCCTCGTCCTGTTCCCACTGCTACCCCTCTCTGAGCACCACCCTCCTCCGCCCTCTCTTCCTCCCCGTCCGCACTTCCTTCCAGACCCTCCGTGTCCCCACTAGTTGCACCCGCTTCTGCATGCTCCCCACCGTCCACGTCACCTGCACCCTCAACACCCCCCTCTGCCGCACCGTCCCCATCTGCGTCACCTGCAGTCTCGTCAATACTGGCATACCTCATACTGCTCTTCCCACCCTTCCCACCCTTCCCACCCTTCCCACCCTTCCCGCTCTTCCCACCCTTCTCACTCTTCCTGCTGGCCTTCTTTCTTTCCTCTCCCTTTTCCACACCTGTCATATCATCCTCATCCGCGTCCTCCTCCCCCTCTGGCGAGTCGACTCTGCCCTTCCTCCCGTCGCCAGCAGCAGCAGAGGCACTGTCATCAACATCATCATCACCAGTAGCACCACCAGTACCAGAACCCACCTCGTTCTCTTCCCCCTCCACGACCCGCTTGCCTCTCCCCCTCACAACACCCTCCTCCGCCCTTCCTTCCACCCCCTCCCCTTCCCCACCTGCCAGCTGCGCCATCAGAATCTCCTCCGCCTCCTCCGCCCCTCCATCATCCCCCCCTGCTGCATCTCCGCCCCCCAACGCCTCCTCCCCCTTCCCGTCCACCGCTCCTTCAACCCCTTCCTCTTGCTCTTCGTCCTTCCTCTGCCCTCCGCCCTCTCTTTCCAGCAGTCGGTTCAGTTCCCTCTCCTCTTCCACAATATCATCCACCTCTCCGCCCTCTCTGCCATCTCCGCCCTCTCTGCCATCTCCGCCCTCTCTGCCTTCCCCGCCCTCTCCACCCTCTCCGCCCTCCCCTTCACCCGCACTCCCCGCGTCCCCCTCCCCTTCCTCCCCCCCATCAGACAGCCTAACAGTGCCCTCACCACCACCACCACCACCACCACCACCACCACCACCACCACCACCACCACCACCACCACCACCACCACCACCACCACCACCACCACCACCACCACCACCACCACCACCACCACCACCACCACCACCACCACCACCACCACCACCACCACCACCACCACCACCACCACCACCACCACCACCACCACCACCACCACCACCACCACCACCACCACCACCACCACCACCACCACCACCACCACCACCACCACCACCACCACCACCACCACCACCACCACCACCACCACCACCACCACCACCACCACCACCACCACCACTCGCCTCCACTGCTCCCTGCTGCTCACGGCCCAGCTCTTCCCCTTCCACTCCTGCCCTCTTGCCCCCAACTTCCATCTCTTTCTCCTGCTCCTGCTCCTGCTGCGGCTGCGGCTGCTGCTGTTGTTGCACTTCTTGCGGCGGTTGCTGCTCGCGAACCGGATCAACAGCCATGCCCCCACTGCCACTCCCACCGCCAGCCACAGCCGTCCCAGCAGCAGCACTGGTGGCAGCAGGACTTGCAGGGGGTGATTCAACAGCGTAGAAATTCGCAGCATCAGCTGCAACAGCAGCAGCGGCAGCAGAAGTGTGAGCAGCAGCAGGGTCTGCAGCAGCAGCAGCAGCAGCAGTAGCAGGTGGTTCAGTGTGAGCCATACGCGTGACTGTCTCTGCTTGTTCACCCCCATACTCCCAACTCGCACCTCCTCCTCCCTCCTCACCTCCTCTCATCACTTGCTCACCACCACCACCACCAACAAGCAGCAGAGGCACAGGCGGTTTCCACCCAGCAGGGCCAAGCACGGTAGAGTAAAGCTCAAACCCCCCCACAATCAGCGCAAACAGCACCACCACCACACACACCCCGCTCCACACGCGCACACTACCACACACGCCCCCCCACCCTCCCCCTCCCCCACTGTTTCCCCCCACACCCGGCCCACTCACACTCCCCCTTCGCGCGCCCTTCTCCACGTCTCTAACAGGCGACATGCTGCCCCAGCCATCCCCATCAGCACCAGGAATGTCGTCCAAATCCGGATCCCATCCCCCACCAGCAGAAGCAGGAGCGCGAGCAGCAGGAGCATCTGGTTTAGGCTCGAGAGGAGGAGGAGGAACAGCAGCAGCAGTCCCCCGGGTGAGACCCGTGCGGGTGGGCCGGCCTCTGCCGCTGCTGTGGGCGCTGGAGTGTGCTGAATCAGCAGCAGCAGCAACGGCCGCAGGTGCATTTATGGGTGCGGTGGATGGTGTCGTGGAGGTGGCTGACGTGGAGAGCCAATCAGAAGGCTCGGGGATGTGCCAGCTGTCGTCGAGGTTTGTGGTGGTGTCCGATGGCCTGGGCGCATGGACAGGGAGGGGGGTGGGCGAAGGGGGGAAGAGAGGGAGGTGGAGAGGACGGGAGGGAGAGATGGACGGATAGATGGATGGAGGGAGAGAGGGAAAGAGAGAGGAGGGAGAGATGGATAGAGCGGTGGGGGAAGATAGGGTGAGAACTAGGGAGGGAGAGAGGGAGGGGTGTTGGGAGGGAAGGTGGGAAGGAGAGATGTAGAGAGGGATGGAGGGTGAGAAAGAGGGAGGGAGTGAGGGAAGGAGAGCGGGAGGCAGAGAGGGAGGAGGGAAGGGAATGCGAGAGGGAGGCCAAAGGAAGAGGAGAGATGGAGAGATTAGAGACGAGAGGGGATGGTGATGGGCGCATGGCGAGAATTGCTACGACTGCTGGACGCTGACGTGTTACAATGAGAACCTACGGGCCTGTTGAGGTTAACCGGGCGGTTGTGCAAAGGGTAGAGGTAAGGGAGCGGGATGCCCCTTGAGAAAAACGACGAATTACAGACGGATTTGCTTGTTGTGAGAGAAACGAGAAAAGAAATTAAGGTCATGCGTTGGCGCCTTCGCTTTGCGCACAAGCGCGGATGGCAGAACAACCACATGATGGAAACGCTGATGCAGGCGGCTGGCGCTTGTGCCGACGCTGACGTAGACACTGACGCTGATGCGGAAACGAGTACACGAAGATCGTTAAGCGGCATTCATAATTCCAGCACACTCCACAACGACTCGATGGCACTCCAGTGTCAGAGTATGGCGACTCCCTCATTCCTCGTCCCTGGTCTCTCGTTCCGTACCTCGCGCGGCTGACCACGAGCTTCGATTTGGTCGCCGCTTTCTTCCCGCCTGCCGCCCGCCGCGATCCCTCCCCGGACCGCTCCATTCTCGCTCACCGCGCCCACTGCGGCGAGCGGGGAGGGCTCGCACACCGTGCGGCCGTCGCACGATCGGCAGACGTCGCACGACCCGCAGGCGTCGCAGCACCCCCAGGTGGCACTACTGGTGCCGGCTCGGTGGATGTGGCTGGGTGCCCGGGATACTAGCTCCGCAGCTTCGCGGCAATGTGAAGGCCGGTCGGATTCTCACCGTTCATGATAGAAAAGACGATGAATGGATGAGCAATTCCGCGGCGGTGACGCTGTAGTTGGGAGCTGTGCCTCGAGAGACCTATCGCATAGAAGGCGCTGGACTGGAGTTTGGGTGATGTGATGTGGAAGCAAGGACGGCACGGCATCTATGCTAAATGATGGATGGTAGTTGGTGGTTGGTGGGGTGGTGGTGGTGAATTGGAGGCTCGTGGACAATATTCGCATGAACGACTTCAACGACGTGAATAATGTGGTAACGCTTACGGTATAAGCAAGGTGAAGAAGGCTGACTAATGTTTCGCAACTTGAGATTTGAGTGAACAGCATATTAGATAAAAATGCAATACATTCCATAACCTAGAGTAGTTATGCACAAATACAGCTGATACTCAGATCTGACATTTTAATGTAGGCGCCCATAAAAATACTTTGATTTATTAGAATGATAAAATCACCAAGTCTGATTGTTACAGATTGGAAGCTCCGCTTTAGATTTGCTGAACAATTTTTTGCTATGAAAATTGTTTCATAAGATAATTTTCCGTATGTGTATACACAAAGAACATAATGAATAAATCTACTTGTATACCGCATGTTTCCAATTTTGATATATCAGCAGCGTCCTTATCATCTGACAAGAGATATTGCGGCCATGTCAAACCAATGGTGTGAATGGTGCTGTTTTAGGATGGTTGTAAAGAATTGTTTGAGCCCTTCCATGGCTTTTGCGTTTGTAACACATCATTCCTTCGCTACCTTCCTCGCCGCGCGCCTCGCACATGTTTTGAAGCACTGTCAGGGTCGCCCGCCACACAGAACAGCCGCCACCTTGCCGCCATCAGCACCCTTCGGGAACTCCAGTGGAAACTTTTTTAAACCCGCGGAACCGATGATCACCAACGGATAAAGCTCTTTGCAGCATTTCTGCTGTGGAATGGAACCTATTTCAGCAGCCAAGATATCCTATCCCATTTGCTAATCTGTCATTGCAAGCCTCTCGAGTTCTTAGCATCCCTGAAAACTCGTCCTCGCATTCAGTCCCGCTTGCCAAGGTTTCCAGACGCTCATTCCGCACGGCGTTGGTACACGCGGACATAGACAGTTCCATGGCCTCACTTCCTACGTTTACGTCGACTCCCACCAAGAAAAGAGAGATCCCTTTTCCGTCCACACCCGTCAGGCGGTGCACACCTCGTGCTGACTGCAACGTAAGCTCTCCGAAGCTCTGAAGTTTTCGCCCTCGTTCAAGTCATTTCTTGTTTTCTCGGAAACTGCAAATACCGTTCTAATATCTTCTCGCGTCGTTTCTCTGATACAGGCGTCCGCGTCTGACCGGTTCATTCCAAGCCGTGGAAACCTGTCCAAATCACAAGCTCGCATGCTGCTTGCTTCTGGCGCATCATCGCGAGCTCCAGTCAGCAAACACGGTGACTCTGCCGCTGTGACGACGCCAGCACAGGTCAGAGTCAGAACCCTTCTCATTCGCGCGTGTCTCCTTTTTACGTACTTTAAGCAGAACTGGACAAACCAGGATTATAACAATTTTCTCGTTGTTTTGCGCAGGAGAGCTATCGCCGGCAACTAAACACGAGCCTGCTGGACGATTTACAGACGGCCTCGGGAACTCCTCGTCGCATGCTTCAGTTCGGAGCCACGGATAACGAGGCACACGGCGGCGATGGGTCCACCAAGGGCCATCATAGGCTCGAAAAGAGCCGCGACTTCTGGGCGAGCCCGACAGCGGGAGCCGCGCCGACCGGCACCAAGACCGGCCAGAAACGCGGCGGGCCCTTGAATCTGCAACAAAAGGTCCGAAAAACGCCTAAGATTCTGTCCCTGATTCGTCCATGATTTTTCCTCGCCGTCAAGATTATGAAACCTTTGGATATGACGGTCGCTCATGGCTTTCGTTTCTCTCCTGTTTCCTCCTTGTGATTCGGCCCGCAGCACGCGGACCTGGTGCTCGATGCGCCGGACATGGCGGACAATTTCTACCTGAACCTGCTCGACTGGAGCAGCAAGGGCGTGGTGGCCATCGGGCTGGGAAGCGCCGTGCACGTGTGGAACAGCGAGACGGGGTCCGTGAGCGAGGTGGTGTCGGGCGACAGCGATGTCACGTCCGTCGCGTGGGCCGACAACGGAACGCACCTCGCGGTCGGATTTGAAGACCACGCGGATTGCGTGCAGCTCTGGGCTGTCGAGCCGTGCAGGAAGGTGCGATGACGTGGGAGATGCCGCTTGACCATCAACCGTGAATCTCGCGTCTTCGGTTGCTTCGTTTCGATTTTCGGACGTCGAAGTATACTAATAATCTGACTCTATTCTGGTGTGGCAGATTCGCGACTTGGCGGGGCACAGCGACCGCGTGAGCGCGATGCACTGGGGAGCGTCGTACCAGCTCGCGACGGGCAGTCGAGACACGTCCATCATCACGCACGACGGTACGAAACGTCGTTCTGCTGGAAAACCCTCAAGTCCCCGTGTCCCGCAATTTCAGCACGCTTCTCGACCCGCTACCAGCTCGTTCCTTTTGTTTATATATGTGCACTCCATTTACTTATTCATTGATATTTTGACTGATTTATCGTCGTTCGCAGTGAGACTGGCCAGCAACGTGGTATCCCGCCTGCGTGGAGTGCACAGGGACGAGGTGTGCGGGCTCCGCTTCGCGCCCATCTCCTCCGCCGGCATCAGCGGCGGATCCGCTGCCACCGTGCTCGCCAGCGGCGGCAACGACAACCTCGTCGCCGTCTGGGACCTCCGCCGCGCCGCTTCCGCTGCCGCCTCTGCTGCCTCCCTGGCGGGAACGGCTGGCGCTACCTCTGGCATGGAGGCGAACCCGACAGCGCAAGCGTGCGTGCATCGGTTCCCGCAGCACCAGGCCGCGGTCAAGGCCCTTGCATGGTGTCCCACACAGGTAACTTCCTCTTGAACTCTTGAGGCGCATCGCACCTCCCTCCGGAATGACACCCTTACCGCCTTATGCTAGACTGATTTGCGAGACTGTTTTTTCTTCTTCGCTTTCCTCACTTACATTGACTGCTAATGCCTTGTTTTGCCTTGTTTTTCTTCTCAGCGACACATGCTGGCGACGGGCGGCGGGTCAAGCGACAAGAGCATCAAGGTGTGGAACGCGCAAGAGGGGTCGCTGCTGTCGTCCACATTCACCGGGTCGCAGGTCACGGGCCTGTCGTGGGGGCCTTCGTCGCGCCACCTCATCAGCGCGCATGGCTACAGCGAGAATGCCATCTGCGTGTGGGCCGTTGGCGCGGGCGCGAGCGCAACTGCGACTGCAAGCATGAGCGGTGGCCCGGGAGCGGGTGTTGCGGGAGCGGGTGTTGCGGGAGCTGGCTCCTCCTTGCTGCAAGTGGGCAAGCTTACAGGTCACCGCGGTCGCATCCTTCATATGGCTGTGGTGAGCTTTTCGGACTGTGCATCACCTCCGTCATGTGCTCGTTATTGGATTACGACTTTCTGTTATTTGCACTAATGATTTGATCTGTTCGTGCGCGGTTGTGACCTCGCAGGCGCCCGACCGGCGAACAGTGGCCACGGCAGCAGCCGACGAAACCCTCCGCGTGTGGAAGCTCTTCGGATCCCCGACCCCTACTGGGGACGGCGGGAGGAGAGGAAGGGGGATGGGTGAGGCAGGGATGGAAGGAGCGAGGGAGACGGAGAGAGAGGAGAGGTGGTTTGGGGGAGCTGGCGGCCAGGTACATGAGGCGATGAGAGGATCCAAGAACATAAGGTGAGATACTGATACCTTCTCTTTGACCTCCTCCTCGGTTGTCTGTCTCTTGTAGTTGCTTCTGGTGCCTTCCCAGGTTTTGATTTTTGGTCGTTTCAATCCGTTTTCCTATTGTTTGTCATAAACCACTGACCAAGCTGACATACTAACTGACTCTCCTTCCCCCCTCCGCATCCTTTCTCTCCGCCTCCCCTCTTCCCTCCCCCTCTCCCCCTGTCCCCCCTGTTTCCCTTCCCTTCCCCCCATCCCGCCCGCCCTCCGAGGATCTTTCCGAGCCAACAAACCGCCTACCGCCCTCCCTCTCTCCGCTCGGTCGCCTGCTGCGACCAAGACCCAAGGCAAGCCCGCGAACCCTACTCCCTCTTAGATCCAGTTCGTCCTCATGCTCCGCTTACCGTTGTCAGCTATAGGAGTCTCTGAATCCTACCACGGCTCGTGATGTACCTGGAGACTAATTTTTCCTTGTTTGTGTCATCTCTTGCAGATCGACCAACTCTAGCGCCGTTGCCACTGAGGCATGAATCATCCTCTCTCACCATGGCGAAGACCGCTCCTTTGACGACCGCTCGCGCGACGACTGTTCGCTCGACGGCTGTTCGCTTGACGGCTGTTCGCTGGACGACTGTTCGCTCCACGGCTGTTCGCTTGACGGCTGTTCGCTTGACGACTGCTCGCGCGCTCGTTCTCGCTTCAAGACTCGAATTCTGTCGGCCTGCCTAAGCCGTCTTGTGCGACGGGCATCCGTCGTCGTGTCGGCTGTCATTGTGGATCGCGCATACGGCAATAACTACGCGCGCACTGTCTGTGCGCCGACCACCATCCCTTCTGCCGCCATCGTCTGCACCATACAGCCATGACAATGGTGCCAGTGATTGGAGACGACGAGACTAGGCTGAAGAACCTTTGCTCGTAATCCCTGGACCATATTGTGACTCTCGAGACACTTTGTGCTATTATACGAATTTTCAGTTAGTCACATATTGCTAAACATTTCCAAAAAATCCATTCAGATAGAAACTGTACATGTATACAATTCACATCCTGGTGTAGCAGAGCTTTCGAGCTCAGAGCACAGTGTTGTACCGAATCGTTGCGGAAATGTGCGGTGGTGCTGGCGAGCAGCAGCATTGGAAAGGGGCTGGCAAATGCATGTTGTCGTTGTCGGCGAGTAAGGTGGTTGGGCTTCGTTCGGTTTGGTCCTTCCATTCACTCGTCTTGTCTGTTGAGAGTCCGACAAACTCGAGGTTGGACCACCGCAACACGACGACGAGCAATCTCCCTCTCACCCCCGAACCAATCACCTTACACCGCCCCAGCGGACCTTCCCTTCTCTCATTTTTCACCCAGGGTCTAGCCAGCAGCAATTGCAGGGTTTTAATATAAGATCTTCTGATCCCTTGATTGTGTGTAAAGTGCTGCCACATAGTTCACTTTGTTCAGTTATCATGCATTGTACTCGAAGGTTTCCTTAAGCTCTGAGTGGTATTTGTGAAGTTTCAAGTAAATTGATAACAGTTTTTTCGAACAGGATCCCTAATAACCAGTGTCAGCTGAGAACAAAATCCCCCAGGAGTGGCCTTGGCATTGGAACATCCCAACTGCTTCCAACTCCATCGTCGTTACACTGGGGTAACTAATCCACTAACTGCTCACGGATGGTGTACGTACCTTCTGGTAGAGTGAACATTGGGCAACAGTACATTGGGCAAGGAAGCTCAGGTGCCCCATATACACCATGTCTTTGCAAAAAACGCTACTAGAGTGTAATCTGGCCTGGAAGAGCGGGCCTGCCGCGCTGCGACTGCGTTCGTCTAACGAGAATCGGAGATTAGGCCAGCAAGCGAAACCAAACCATGCTTTTCGAAACGACCATCCGCCTTGCAAGATCTGAGTCACTTTAAAACTTTCCCCGTGCAACGTTCCGAACCTGACTTGGAAAGGATTCGCGGCCGGCCAGCTTTCTGCTGTCGTCCTAACAGAACAGAACAATACTACAAATTTCTGACGCTTTTCCACCCGCGCCGCCCATGTCGCCGCTCTCGCAGCATCAGCGGCCATGGTTGCTCCTATGGTGCATCCTGCTGTTAGTAGTGTGGCAACCACCTTCCATGACTCTTCCCCCCAGCAAATACGACTGGTCCGCCGTGAATCGCGGGGAGAGAATATGGGGCGGTGGAGGCGCGGCGCGTCCGCTCCTCCTTGCGGCTAATGCGGCGCCGATTGCGGCGACGGACAGCTTTACTTCGCCGTGCAGTGAAGAATCCACAAGTAGGAATCTAGCCGCAGATGAATCGCGAGTCGCATCTGCGTTCTGCTATAGCTACTACTGAGTAGGACGAGTGGCAGCCGTTGCGACGGCGATTAAATCCGCTGGGAAGCCGAGCGATGAGGCAGTCGGAGGGCAGTAGTTGAGTTGAGTAACACAGTAGTAGTTGAGTCGGCTGAGCGTCACAGCTGGCTGAGCGTCACAGCCGGCTGAGCGTCACAGCTGGCTGAGCGTCACAGCTGGCTGAGCGTCACAGCCGGCTCTCTGAGTGTCCGTGTCGGCAGGTGTTGTTGAGTCAGTCGGTGGTGCACACAGCTTGAGCTTTTAAAAGCTTCCATAGGCCTTCGCATTAAAGAATCACAGATTACTATTCGTGAGCTAGATCGCTCACGTTCACCCGTGATGGCGCCTCCTCGTGGCGGATTCCTTACGTGCCGTCCGCTCCTTACGCCCTCCCAATCCTCCCCCCACTCTCCTCTTCCCCACTCCCCCTCTCCCCCCCTCCACCCACCCACCCCCCTCTCCCCTCCCTCCCGTTTTCTCCCCACGTTCCCGTAACTTCCTCCCTCTTCCGCCCCATCCCCATCCGTCCGCATTCCCCGGCCTCTCCTCCTCCGCTCCTCCCCGCGCGCGTGCAGCGTTCGAGCGGTGGAGCGACGCGTCGACGTGGGGGGGCGGGGGCATTCCGGGGCAGGGCGCGCAGGTGGGCGCGAACGTGACCATTCCGTGCGGCAAGGCCGTGCTCCTCGACACGTCGCCCGTGACGCTCACTCTCCTGCAAATACAAGGCGTCCTCATGTAACTGCATCTCTCTCCCCCTCCCTCTCCCACTTCCTCTCATGTCATGTCATGTCATGTCATGTCATGTCATGCCATGCCATGCCATGCTGCGCCAGACTCACCTTGAGAAGCGTTGCCGAGCTGGGCAGTACAGATGACTAAAACTGCCCGCGCAAGACTTTCATTGCGTCTCCTATTGCTCCTCCCATCAGCTTCTCACTGTTCCTCCTCCCGCGCCCTCACCTTCTGTCCCAAACACCGCACCGTTCCTCCCCTCCCCTTCCGCTTCTTCCCGCTCTCGCCGAGTCCTGATCCACTTTTCCCAACATCTAATCATCCGCAAGTTCAGGCCTTCATGTACCGGAACCTTCTTTCCCTTCTCGGCCCTGCTTTCCCCGCTTCCCTTCCCCACTCTCTCTCTTCTCCTCCCCTCTTTCTGTTTCTGCCCATCTTCCCCTCCTCCCCTTCCCTCCCTCCCTCCCTCCCTCCCTCCCTCCCTCCCTCCCTCCCTCCCTCCCTCCCTCCCTCCCTCCCTCCCTCCCTCCCTCCCGCCTTCCATCTCTCTTTTCCTCCCCCGCGCAGGTTCGAGGACACGCCCTCTCTCCCCCAGCTGCTCCTCAACGCGTCCTTCATTCTCCTGCAGGGCCGTCTGGCCATCGGCGCGCAGCAGCAGCACTTCTCCCAGCGCGCCCTGCTCACTCTCACGCCCAACCCCAGCGCGCGCGCGCCGCTGCTCGTCGCCGACCCCCTGCCCGCGGACGCCGCCAATCCGCGCAACCTGGGGCACAAGGCGCTCGCCGTGGTGCGTGGCGCTCGCCTCTCTCTTCCCCACCTTTTCCCATAGTCTCCCCACACACACCCCTCTATCCCTCTCGCTCCCAAGCCTGCACTCTCTACTCACTCCTTACTCCTTGATTTCCTTGTCTGCTTTCTCCCGTCTCCCTCCCCCGTCCCCACTCCATCCCCTCCCCTTTCCCTCTTCTTTTCCCCATCTCCCCTTTCCAGCTAGGAGGCCAATTGGATCTGCACGGCATGCCTGGGGGGCCCTCCACCCCCTCCTGGTGCCAGCTGGCGAAAACGGCGCCAGCTGGCGCCACGTCACTGCTGGTGGACGCTGACGTGTCGGCGTGGCCGGTGGGGGCGCTGATAGCAGTATCATCGACAGACTACAGCACGGATCAGGCAGAGGATGTGAGCATCACTGCAGGTGAGGAGGGTTGCGGGGAAGGGGGTGGAGAAAGGGGGAAGAGGCGAGAGGGGTATGGTTGGCGCGTGTGTGTATTGTGTGTGTGTGTGATGTGTGTGATGTGTGTGTGTGTGTGTGTGTGTGAGTGTGTGTGTGATGTGTGTGTGTGTGTGTGTGATGTGTGTGTGTGTGTGTGTGATGTGTGTGTGTGTGTGTGAGTGTGTGTGCGTGTGAGTGTGTGTGTTTGAGTGTGTGTGTGTGTGTGAGTGTGTGTGTGTGTGAGTGTGTGTGTGTGTGAGTGTGTGTGTGTGAGTGTGTGTGTGTGTGAGTGTGTATGAGTGTGTGTGTGTGTGTGTGTGTGAGTGTGTGTGTGTGTGTGTGATGCAGCCTTCCCTCTTTACCACTGCCTCTCTTAGCTTCGCACTCGCCCTCCTCTCTCGTCTCTGCCCTTCCCCTCAACGTTTTAAACCTTCCAGCCTTTCACACCATCTCACCATCTCACCACTACCATAACCCTACCCCTTCTTCCCCTCCCGAACCTCCACCCCCTTCCTCCCCCACCAGTAACCACCTTCCCCAACGGCACCTCGCTGCTCACTCTCGCCCGCGCGCTCACCTACTCCCACTTCGGCGACCCCCTCGGCGTGCCCGACGGGTTCGGGGGCTTCATAGACGAACGCGCTGAGGTGGCGCTACTGTCACGCACCGTTACAATCACATCCTTACCAGAAAGCAGCCCTTATGACCGCGAGGGGGGCCACGTGTCGGTGTATTTCACCCAGAGGCCGCAAGCGGTGGAAGGAGTGGAGTTCAGTGGGTTGGGGCAGGAGGGGCTGGAGGGGCGGTTTCCGCTGCATTATATGTTCCATGGGAATCAGGGGCAGGCTGCGGGTGGGGAATCGAGTGTTTGCCGGAAGAACTCGTTTCACCACACGAATAATGTGAGTGGTGTGTGGTGTGTGATGTGAAGTAGTGTGATGGGATGGGATGTGATGTGATGTAATGTAATGCGATGTGATGTGATGTGGGGGGGAGGTTGTTGGATTGCGATTGGGTCACATGTGTGATTGTCACCATGCCGCTTGTGGAAGTGCTCTTCTCTCTCTCTCCCACTCACCTGACCATCGTTCGTCATCCCCATCCCCCCACCTCTGCCCTTCGTCCCCTGATTCCTTCAATCACACTCCCGCTTCAATTCAACAATCCTCGCGCATAGGTTCCCAACCTGCAACGATCCACCGTCTCATTCATCTCCTTGGCACACCTTCTCCCTCATCCGCTTCCTCTCCCTCCTTGTACCCCACAGCGCTCGCTCTCCCACCCACCCACCCACCCACCCACCGCCGCCATCCCTCCTTCCCCCTTTACTACCCTACCCCATCTCCCCCACCCGTCTTCCCATCTACACTCTTTCCCCAGACTCCCCTTCTCCCCCACTCCCTCTGTACCACTCTCCACCCTTTCCGCCCCCTCAAATTCCCCTCTCGCCCGCCCCCTCTCCCATCCCCTACCCCCACCCTCTCCCTCCCCCATGCAGCGCTGTATGGTGCTGATGGCAGCAAGCGGCATGGCGGTGGAGGGGAACGTTGTTGACAAACGTAGCGTACGACCCGCGTGGGCACTGCTTCATGCTCTCCTGCCAATAACCTCCGCTTGCTTCCTCTCCCTCCCTGCACTCCACATCACTCTCTCTCTCTCTCCTCCGCCCAATCCGCGCTTCCCCTCTTTACCACCCTGCCCCACCTCCCCCCTTCCTTCCCCGGTCTCCCCCTCCCCAACCCCCTCCCCCATATCTCCCCACCCCCATGCCCCTCCGTTCCCCCACACGCAGCGCTGTGTGGTGCTGACAGCGGCGAGCGGCATGACAGTAGAGAGCAACGTGGCGTACGACACACGAGGGCACTGCTACATGCTCTCCTCGGGCTCCGAGACGCGCAACACCCTCGCCAACAACCTCGGCTTCCTCACCCGCCGCGGTGCGCTGCATGTGGGGGTGCATGTGGGGGTGCATGTGGGGGGTACATGTGGGGGGTGCATGTGGGGGGGTGCATGTGGGGTGCATGGGGGCCGGATGGGTGGTGGACCGGGGGTGCCATGGATGGTTAGTGAACGCATTAGGGGATGAGTTGCAGAGATGGGGTGGGAGAGCAGAGTATATGATCCCCATCATCTCCCACTCTCTCCGTCCCTGCTGCTTGGAAACCCTCTTCCACCCCCCCCCAAGTCAACCGCCTTCCCCTGCATCATCCCCTTTCTCAACCCCTTCTTCATCCCCCCACCCCCTCCTTCATTGTATCCCCCGCCTTGATCCCCTCCCACCAGCCGGCAGGGACATATCGGGCATGAGGGACCCCTCCCTCCCTGCATCACCCCACCACTCTCATCATTCAAACTCCATTAACCCTCCTTCACCCCCCACCCTCCTTCATTTCCCCTCCCACCAGCCGGCAGGGACGTATCGGGCATGAGGGAAACGAGCAACCCCGCTCCCTCCCTTGCATCACCCCCCACTCACACCACTCAACCATTCTCACCCATCCCTCATCTACCCCTCCTACCAGCCGGCAGGGACGTCAAGCATGAGGGACACGAGCAACCCCGCCACGTTCCTGCATCTCCCCCCTCTCACATCACTCAACCATCCCACCCTTCCTTCATCCCCCACCCCTCCTTCACCCTCCCCTCCCACCAGCCGGCAGGGACGTGTCGGGCATGAGGGACACGAGCAACCCCGCCACGTTCCTGCTCGCCAACCCCGACAACGACTTCATCAACAACACTGCTGCTGGCTCCTACGCCGCCGGGTGAGTGCTGCGCGTTGCCCGCTGCACAGGTGTGGTGGGAAGCGGTGGAGCGTGGTGGGACGTGGAAAATCCAGAGACGTCCCATGGGTCCCTGGTCTGGTCCCTCCACGTCCCAACCCCGCCACGTTCCTGCTCGCCAACCCTGACAACGACTTTATCAACAACACTGCTGCTGGCTCCTACGCCGCCGGGTGAGCTCCCTGTGTTGCTCCGCTGCATGGGCGCTGGGCTGGGACGTGGTGGGATAAGGGCATGCCAAAGTTCCATGGGCGCCGTGTTAGGATTTTTTTGGAAGAGGGGGAGAGAAAGGGAGAGGACAAGCGGGGCGTGCTGGGGAGTGCAAGAGGCTAGGCTAGTATGGCAGGGCGGATCAGTTGTGAGGTGCCTCAAATGGGGATGTGATGGTGGCGGGAGGGACATCTGAAGCCTGGAAATGCAGCGCGAGCAAGATTGTCCAGCAAGGGAGCACGGCCAGAGTTCCAGAGAAATCTCTCTTCCATCACCCTTTCCCCGCTCTCTCCCCTCCTCCCCTTCCCCCTCTCCCTCGTCGTTTCCACCCCACAGTGTATGGTACTACCTGCGGTGGGGAGTGTCAGGCCTGGCAGGCACCATACCCGGGTACTACAATCTACTGCCATTCTTCACGCCCTGGGGCGCCTTCTCCGGCTGCACCTTCCACTCTAACAACCTCTGGGGCCTCCAGGCCTACCCCATGGGCGCCTATCCGCGCCAAGGGGCCTTCCGGAATTTCTCCCAGCAGAACCCCGTGAGTGACTTCGGGGTTGGTAGCTGGGCTGGGCTGGGCTGGGGTGGGCTGTGTGATATAGGTAAATATGTCATATAAAGGCCTAGTATATGTCAGCTCAAAGCGCCTCTCTGGGGCCTACAGGCTTATCCCATGCGCTTTTCGGAACCTCTCCCAGCAGAACCCCCCGAGTGGTGGGGCATGTGGGGGAAGGAGAGCGCGGAGCGGAGATGGTGGAGAGTGGGGAGGGGAGTGTGTAGGGAGTGTCAAGTCGAAAGTGCTTATGCGATTCCTTTCGCCTATTTTCGCCAGCACCAAATTCCACTTTCATCTTTAACGCGCTGTCCTTCCCTCTCCCCCAACATCTTTCTCCCATGTACAACCCCTCCCATTCCATGATCACGCCCATGTCCACTACCAACCCGTGCTGTGCTCATCTCACCACGACCACCAAGAGCAGTACAGCGTGCAGTGGCTCAAGCCCATTCAGCGAGTGCTCTTCTCCCGCCTCACCTTCTACAAGCACCAAGGCAGCGCGTAAGCCCTTCACTAACTCACCTTGCCTCGCCTCTCTGATCTCCTCTCCCCCTCCCCAAACTCTCCCCCTCCCCACACTCTCCCCCTCCCCCCTCCCCTCTCCTCCACCTCCTTCTCCTTCCCCTTTCTCTCCCCTCCCTCCGTCACCCTTACCCCCTGCCTGCTGCAGAAGCTTTCCTGTGCACCCCCAGCGCCTTTCCTCATCCACACCCCCTCCCTCCCTGTCGCACCCCCCGCCCTTTCTCCTCCCCTTCCCTCCCTCCTCCCCCCTCCCCCCTCCCCCCCCCACCCGCCTCCCTCTCGCTCTTGTTTTTTCTCAAGCGCGTCACAAGTCGCCTTCTGTTCCGAGCCACCTCATAACCCCTGCCCCCTTCCCGTCTCTCTCCCTTGCCTCGCCCCTCCCCTCCCCGTCCCTTCCCCCCCATCCCCCTCCCCCTTCCTCCCTCCTCCACCTAGCACGCTCATGGACACGTTTGATGCGTTCACAATGCAGGTCTCTGTGTCCATTACTCTCTCTCATACACGCCAAATACCGCCTTTTGAGCTGCCTCAAAACTCCTTCCCCCTTTCCTCCTCTCTCCTCCCCACTCCCTTCACGCCTTCCTCTACCCTCCTCCCCCCTCCCCACAGCACGCTCATGGACACGTTTGACGCGTTCACAGTGCAGGACTCTGTGTTGGCGGACAACCAGTGGTCGCTGTACCTCGCAGAGACTCAGCATGCTTCCTCAGTCCCCCTCCTCTCTTCCTCCCCCCATCCCCCCCTCCCTCCTTCCCTCCCTCCCCTCCCTTCTCCCCCATCCCTCTTCCCCTTTCCTCCCCTCCTCCCCTCCCTCTCTCCCCCCCTCCTCCCCTCCCTCTTCCCCCCCTCCTCCCCTCCCTCTTTCCCCCCCTTCTCCCCTTCCTCTTTCCCCCCCTCCTTCTTTTCCCCCCTCCTCCCCCCTCCCCACAGCACGCTCATGGACACGTTTGACGCGTTCACAATGCAGGACTCTGTGTTCGCGGACAACCAGTGGTCGCTGTACCTCGCAGAGACGCAGCACGCCATCGTGGACAGGTGCCGCTTCGTGGGGCTGTCCAACAACTACGGCACGCCGCAAGGGTGCACCAACGCTCAGCCGTGGGACTGCGCTCCCATCACCGGCTGCAAGTGAGTGCGTGTGCCTGCCTGAGGGCGGCTGAGGGTTCCCTCATAGACTCAGACTGGAGGGGCGGACCGAGGGTGCTGTTTGGCAGATGAAATGAAATGACCCTGTGCCAGCCAGTCTGTAGCCACTCGGGACTGTGTAGTGCAGCCTTGGGACTGTGTATTGCAGCCCTGGGACTGTGTATTGCAGCCCTGGGACTGTGTAGTGCAGCCTTGGGACTGTGTATTGCAGCCCTGGGACTGTGTAGTGCAGCCTTGGGACTGTGTATTGCAGCCCTGGGACTGTGTAGTGCAGCCTTGGGACTGTGTATTGCAGCCCTGGGACTGTGTAGTGCAGCCTTGGGACTGTGTATTGCAGCCCTGGGACTGTGTAGTGCAGCCTTGGGACTGTGTATTGCAGCCCTGGGACTGTGTATTGCAGCCCTGGGACTGTGTAGTGCAGCCTTGGGACTGTGTATTGCAGCCCTGGGACTGTGTAGTGCAGCCTTGGGACTGTGTATTGCAGCCCTGGGACTGTGTAGTGCAGCCTTGGGACTGTGTATTGCAGCCCTGGGACTGTGTAGTGCAGCCTTGGGACTGTGTATTGCAGCCCTGGGACTGTGTAGTGCAGCCTTGGGACTGTGTATTGCAGCCCTGGGACTGTGTAGTGCAGCCTTGGGACTGTGTATTGCAGCCCTGGGACTGTGTAGTGCAGCCTTGGGACTGTGTATTGCAGCCCTGGGACTGTGTAGTGCAGCCTTGGGACTGTGTATTGCAGCCCTGGGACTGTGTAGTGCAGCCTTGGGACTGTGTATTGCAGCCCTGGGACTGTGTAGTGCAGCCTTGGGACTGTGTATTGCAGCCCTGGGACTGTGTAGTGCAGCCTTGGGACTGTGTATTGCAGCCCTGGGACTGTGTATTGCAGCCCTGGGACTGTGTATTGCAGCTCTGGGACTGTGTATTGCAGCCCTGGCACTGTGTATTGCAGCCTTGGGACTGTGTATTGCAGCCCTGGGACTGTGTATTGCAGCCCTGGGACTGTGTAGTGCAGCCTTGGGACTGTGTATTGCAGCCCTGGGACTGTGTATTGCAGCCCTGGGACTGTGTAGTGCAGCCTTGGGACTGTGTATTGCAGCCCTGGGACTGTGTATTGCAGCCCTGGGACTGTGTAGTGCAGCCTTGGGACTGTGTATTGCAGCCCTGGGACTGTGTATTGCAGCCCTGGGACTGTGTATTGCAGCCCTGGGACTGTGTATTGCAGCCCTGGGACTGTGTAGTGCAGCCTTGGGACTGTGTATTGCAGCCCTGGGACTGTGTATTGCAGCCCTGGGACTGTGTAGTGCAGCCTTGGGACTGTGTATTGCAGCCCTGGGACTGTGTATTGCAGCCCTGGGACTGTGTAGTGCAGCCTTGGGACTGTGTATTGCAGCCCTGGGACTGTGTATTGCAGCCCTGGGACTGTGTATTGCAGCCCTGGGACTGTGTATTGCAGCCCTGGGACTGTGTAGTGCAGCCTTGGGACTGTGTATTGCAGCCCTGGGACTGTGTATTGCAGCCCTGGGACTGTGTAGTGCAGCCTTGGGACTGTGTATTGCAGCCCTGGGACTGTGTATTGCAGCCCTGGGACTGTGTAGTGCAGCCTTAGGACTGTGTATTGCAGCCCTGGGACTGTGTATTGCAGCCCTGGGACTGTGTAGTGCAGCCTTGGGACTGTGTATTGCAGCCCTGGGACTGTGTATTGCAGCCCTGGGACTGTGTAGTGCAGCCTTGGGACTGTGTATTGCAGCCCTGGGACTGTGTATTGCAGCCCTAGGACTGTGTATTGCAGCCCTGGGACTGTGTATTGCAGCCCTGGGACTGTGTATTGCAGCTCTGGGACTGTGTATTGCAGCCCTGGGACTGTGTAGTGCAGCCTTGGGACTGTGTATTGCAGCCCTGGGACTGTGTAGTGCAGCCTTGGGACTGTGTATTGCAGCCCTGGGACTGTGTAGTGCAGCCTTGGGACTGTGTATTGCAGCCCTGGGACTGTGTAGTGCAGCCTTGGGACTGTGTATTGCAGCCCTGGGACTGTGTAGTGCAGCCTTGGGACTGTGTATTGCAGCCCTGGGACTGTGTAGTGCAGCCTTGGGACTGTGTATTGCAGCCCTGGGACTGTGTAGTGCAGCCTTGGGACTGTGTATTGCAGCCCTGGGACTGTGTAGTACAGCCTTGGGACTGTGTATTGCAGCCCTGGGACTGTGTATTGCAGCCCTGGGACTGTGTAGTGCAGTCTTGGGACTGTGTATTGCAGCCCTGGGACTGTGTAGTGCAGCCTTGGGACTGTGTATTGCAGCCCTGGGACTGTGTAGTGCAGCCTTGGGACTGTGTATTGCAGCCCTGGGACTGTGTAGTGCAGCCTTGGGACTGTGTATTGCAGCCCTGGGACTGTGTAGTGCAGCCTTGGGACTGTGTATTGCAGCCCTGGGACTGTGTAGTGCAGCCTTGGGACTGTGTATTGCAGCCCTGGGACTGTGTAGTGCAGCCTTGGGACTGTGTATTGCAGCCCTGGGACTGTGTAGTGCAGCCTTGGGACTGTGTATTGCAGCCCTGGGACTGTGTATTGCAGCCCTGGGACTGTGTATTGCAGCTCTGGGACTGTGTATTGCAGCCCTGGGACTGTGTATTGCAGCCTTGGGACTGTGTATTGCAGCCCTGGGACTGTGTATTGCAGCCCTGGGACTGTGTAGTGCAGCCTTGGGACTGTGTATTGCAGCCCTGGGACTGTGTATTGCAGCCCTGGGACTGTGTAGTGCAGCCTTGGGACTGTGTATTGCAGCCCTGGGACTGTGTATTGCAGCCCTGGGACTGTGTAGTGCAGCCTTGGGACTGTGTATTGCAGCCCTGGGACTGTGTATTGCAGCCCTGGGACTGTGTATTGCAGCCCTGGGACTGTGTATTGCAGCCCTGGGACTGTGTAGTGCAGCCTTGGGACTGTGTATTGCAGCCCTGGGACTGTGTATTGCAGCCCTGGGACTGTGTAGTGCAGCCTTGGGACTGTGTATTGCAGCCCTGGGACTGTGTATTGCAGCCCTGGGACTGTGTAGTGCAGCCTTGGGACTGTGTATTGCAGCCCTGGGACTGTGTATTGCAGCCCTGGGACTGTGTATTGCAGCCCTGGGACTGTGTATTGCAGCCCTGGGACTGTGTAGTGCAGCCTTGGGACTGTGTATTGCAGCCCTGGGACTGTGTATTGCAGCCCTGGGACTGTGTAGTGCAGCCTTGGGACTGTGTATTGCAGCCCTGGGACTGTGTATTGCAGCCCTGGGACTGTGTAGTGCAGCCTTAGGACTGTGTATTGCAGCCCTGGGACTGTGTATTGCAGCCCTGGGACTGTGTAGTGCAGCCTTGGGACTGTGTATTGCAGCCCTGGGACTGTGTATTGCAGCCCTGGGACTGTGTAGTGCAGCCTTGGGACTGTGTATTGCAGCACCGGGACTGTGTATTGCAGCCCTAGGACTGTGTATTGCAGCCCTGGGACTGTGTATTGCAGCCCTGGGACTGTGTATTGCAGCTCTGGGACTGTGTATTGCAGCCCTGGGACTGTGTAGTGCAGCCTTGGGACTGTGTATTGCAGCCCTGGGACTGTGTAGTGCAGCCTTGGGACTGTGTATTGCAGCCCTGGGACTGTGTAGTGCAGCCTTGGGACTGTGTATTGCAGCCCTGGGACTGTGTAGTGCAGCCTTGGGACTGTGTATTGCAGCCCTGGGACTGTGTAGTGCAGCCTTGGGACTGTGTATTGCAGCCCTGGGACTGTGTAGTGCAGCCTTGGGACTGTGTATTGCAGCCCTGGGACTGTGTAGTGCAGCCTTGGGACTGTGTATTGCAGCCCTGGGACTGTGTAGTGCAGCCTTGGGACTGTGTATTGCAGCCCTGGGACTGTGTATTGCAGCCCTGGGACTGTGTAGTGCAGCCTTGGGACTGTGTATTGCAGCCCTGGGACTGTGTAGTGCAGCCTTGGGACTGTGTATTGCAGCCCTGGGACTGTGTAGTGCAGCCTTGGGACTGTGTATTGCAGCCCTGGGACTGTGTAGTGCAGCCTTGGGACTGTGTATTGCAGCCCTGGGACTGTGTAGTGCAGCCTTGGGACTGTGTATTGCAGCCCTGGGACTGTGTATTGCAGCCCTGGGACTGTGTAGTGCAGCCTTGGGACTGTGTATTGCAGCCCTGGGACTGTGTAGTGCAGCCTTGGGACTGTGTATTGCAGCCCTGGGACTGTGTAGTGCAGCCTTGGGACTGTGTATTGCAGCCCTGGGACTGTGTAGTGCAGCCTTGGGACTGTGTATTGCAGCCCTGGGACTGTGAAGTGCAGCCTTGGGACTGTGTATTGCAGCCCTGGGACTGTGTAGTGCAGCCTTGGGACTGTGTATTGCAGCCCTGGGACTGTGTAGTGCAGCCTTGGGACTGTGTATTGCAGCCCTGGGACTGTGTAGTGCAGCCTTGGGACTGTGTATTGCAGCCCTGGGACTGTGTAGTGCAGCCTTGGGACTGTGTATTGCAGCCCTGGGACTGTGTAGTGCAGCCTTGGGACTGTGTATTGCAGCCCTGGGACTGTGTATTGCAGCCCTGGGACTGTGTATTGCAGCTCTGGGACTGTGTATTGCAGCCCTGGGACTGTGTATTGCAGCCTTGGGACTGTGTATTGCAGCCCTGGGACTGTGTATTGCAGCCCTGGGACTGTGTAGTGCAGCCTTGGGACTGTGTATTGCAGCCCTGGGACTGTGTATTGCAGCCCTGGGACTGTGTAGTGCAGCCTTGGGACTGTGTATTGCAGCCCTGGGACTGTGTATTGCAGCCCTGGGACTGTGTAGTGCAGCCCTGGGACTGTGTATTGCAGCCCTGGGACTGTGTATTGCAGCCCTGGGACTGTGTAGTGCAGCCTTGGGACTGTGTATTGCAGCCCTGGGACTGTGTAGTGCAGCCTTGGGACTGTGTATTGCAGCCCTGGGACTGTGTAGTGCAGCCTTGGGACTGTGTATTGCAGCCCT